CAAAGAAGACCTCACAGGTTCAAGCGCCGAAGTTCATAAAGAATACAATAGGTTTTATCATCCTATGAGCCGTATTACTTTTGCTAATTCGGGAATTTATGATAACGACCTTGATTTAGAATTTCAATTACAACTCGGTTCAAAACTATTTCCAGAATATCCTTGTAAGAGCATAACACAAGCGTTCTATTATTTACGAAAAGCAGTGAATTTACCTTCATTTCATCAACATCATTTATCTATTGAATTTAATCAGTATAAATCAAATAATTTCATCTCAGATAGTAGTTATACTGGGATAAATACCAAGTCAGGACAGTAACTGTTAATTCGGGTTAAACCATCAGGTTCTATGCTTACTGCTTTGATGCCTGATACAATTTACATACCATTAGTATCAGAACAAATACTTTCGATACGCGATGCCGGTGTTCAGATTTTAGATTAAGAATAAGGAAAAAGGATAAGATTAAAAATACATATTTATTTCATCTTATCATTTAATATGGATAGAAGTTATTCAGATTATAATGATATAATAGATGAAGTAGAGAATGTAGAACAAGTAATAATAACTGACAATAAAATTAAGGCATGCTGTTATTATTCATTAGAATGAATAAAATTAGGAATACAATATATCAAAAATACAAATGCAAATATACTATAAATGGGAAAAAAGAAAAAACAGAATAAGACAGGTTTAAGTGTTTCTTCAACAGATGAAGAAAAAGAAGAAATTGTTAAAGAAACATCAGTTATTGAGTTTGCTTGTCCTATGTGTAAAAATATGTTAGAAATGAAAAATGAATGGGAAATACAAAAGAAAGGACATTGTAAATGTTCGTGTATTCCAACAAATTTCAATATAAGTAAAAATGAAAAGAAAATGAATATTGATAATACGAAAGACAGTATCAAGATAGAAACAGATGTTCATAATATTGCTATCCAATGGGGAAGGCATGCGTCGCCATCCGAGAATGGTGATAACGAAGCACAGAAAACTATACGTGAAATGATGAAACACTAGTATTTAAAGAGTATATTTTACACTAGTCAATTTTATAAATAAATAAATCTTTTAAACAACTAATTATATAAATAAATATATATATAGAAATGTCTGAAGTTGAGAATGATGCTATTGCTGAACTATCAAAGAAGGTAATGACGGTTAGTAAAAATGTCAAACTGTTGTATGAGATGATGAAATCTATTGACCAGAAACTTGATGCAAAGGCAAACGAACCAAACAATAGCAACGAAGAGAAAGAACATATTGATAAAATCTTTGAAAAGAAACAAATAGGGCGCCCGTTTGGCAGTTTTCAAGATAAGCAAAAGCAATATATGGATATGTTAAATAAGAACAAAATTAAATCTCCAAAACCAGAAACTATTGAATTTTATAACTGTTTAAGAACGAAGAAGGAAAATACGAATTAATATAATAAAGATCTAAATCATTCTAATAAATCAATTTATTAGAATTATTTTCAGGCAGTGGTTCTGTTGGTAAAGTTGCACGTGATTTAAGTTTTAATGTAATTTTATTTGGAGCAGTCCTCCATGCACCGAATACAGCAGAGCAAAAACAACAGGAATAAGAAACGTTGATAGTATAGTTTTAAAAAACTATTGAGATTATCAAATATTTTAATCCTAAATATTTTGTAATTGAAAATTCTCAAACTGGATTATTAAAAAATCAGGAATTTATGAATGAGTTTGATTTTAAAGATGTTGATTATTGCAAATATGGATTTAATTACAGAAAACGCACTAGGTTCTGGACTAACATTACTAAGTGGAAACCTAGAGATTTATGTAAAAAGGACTGTGGAAAAATCAGGAATAATAAACATATTGAAACAGCGCAACGTCTGCCAGAAAAAACCAAGGCAGAATGGGGCGACAATCCAATAGTACATAGACAGGAAGATTTATACACAATTCCTGCTGAATTGATTTGTGAGATTTTGACGAGTTTGGTGGATTAAAGAAACGAGTTTGGGGTTGTGGTTGAAAATTGAAATTTCTAGGTTCATCCAACGACAACACAGTAAAATCTATGAAATTTAAAATTTTCAAAATTATTAATTTTAAGGGGATAATCCATAGTTTATAAAATAAATAAAACACCAAAATATATATGAAACTATCAGGAAACTCCCACCAATCACCAAACAGGGCAACAAGAAATTGGCGAGATTTTCCCCCTTGTAATACATATATATATATATAAACATAACAAAAAAGCAACTCCCAATGCCTCCCGTCCATACCTAGTAGAGGAAAGTCTTGTAGGCGAAGACGACGAAGAAGATACCTGCGGGCACAACGATGCGGGAACTACCAAAATGGGGGAAGGGTAAAAACAAAACAAGGGGCGCGACGAAAACGACCCACCCAGCGACTAAACCAACCCAATCTGCTCCAAATCGTTCAATCTCACACCTCTACCTCTCTCACATCAACCTTTCAACCTCTCGCTCAAACCCCTTCTCAAAATGAGCCTTTTTCATCTCACAGGACAACGGATTAAGCGGGTTTAAAGTGCCACCACCACCACTCAACAAATGCTTTGAGCTAGCTTGATGGGAGCATTGAGCTGGCTTGATGGGAGCATTGAGCTGGCTTGATGGGAGCATTGAGTGGATGTGGGTTCAGCACCACCGCATTTGGGAGACTTTTCATCCCATCCTGACATCGCCACGCGAAGTTGCTTCACGGACTGCAACCTTTATGGCAAGAATGTTAGTGAAGAGTTGCTTCACTTTGCCAAGGTCATAACTGCCATTGTGTTGCTCAATGGCACGGTTGCACGCTCACTGCAAAACTACCGAGGAATTTTCAATAGTGGATCTCAAGCCGTTGCAGATGACCTTCAACTCCTGCAACTTCTCACCAAACAACCTCTCGCCAATCTCCTTCATCTTGACGTCCGCCGAAGCGCCACCACCAAGAATTGCCACAATCTCACTCAACTGTTGCTCATTCAAGCGCTTTCCGAATGTCTCCAAAGCAGATGTGGCATTGCTGTCTGCCATCGTGTAGAACTCCTTGGGAGAGGGCATTGACGAAGCGCTGGTTGTAGCAATCTTCTCTTTCAAGGTCTTTGTCTTCAATGCCACCTTCTTGAGGTCTCGGACGGCGCCACCACCACCCAACATGTTGAGCTTGATGAGCATCTCGGAAGGGCACTCTGAAACCAATGAGGTTTCAGACAGTTTCTCACCGTTGATGGGACCGAACAGTCCAAAGTCTCCATACTCAACGTGTGTGATGTCGCAAGTCTCATACATCTCCTGCTTCACAGTGGACGTGGGCAAGACAAATTGTCACCTTCACCATCTCATCAGGGTTGATGGACTCAACGTAGCCGGCACCATCTCCAACATCAAAGTTGAAGTCAGCAAGGTAGGTGAAGTCATCACCTTCGCCCCACACCTCCTCAACGTCCTTCTCATCATACTCTGCCTCGTCCTCCTCAACATCAACTGGAACATGCTCACCTAAAGCAAGGCGGTAGGTGCGGTCGTTCTTGTCATAGACATTCACCGTGATGATGTCGTTGCGCTTGGCATGGAGGTCTGTGATGAGGGTGTGTTGCTCCTCAGCGTAGCGCGAGTTGAGGTGGTACCCATTCACGAAGTAAAGGAAGCGCAGGTCGTCTTCTTGGTAAAGGTGAAACTGACTCATAGCGACTGACACACTGCCAATCATCTGGATGACTGTTGTGGTAGGCGACACATTCACGCAGAAGGGACTGTTCGTATGCGTTGGCACCCTCACCCCATCTTCATTGGCAGTGAACTCCACAAACTCCACCTTCAAGTGAAAGTCGTGCTCCACCGTGGGATTGAGGACTACCGCATCAAGCACTGAGTCCTCGCGGATGCTGTAGGCAAAGAGGCGCCTGTTGTTCTGAAGCCTTTCCGTCCCAAACAGCAACACGACCTCCTCGGCGATGTGCTCAGCAAGGTCTTCCTGCTTGAACTTCTTGACGCTGTTTTTGAGCGATGTTGCCACCTCAACCTCCTTTCCGGACAAAAACCTGACACGAAGAAGCACCGTGACAGAACGGCTTTCATCCACCAATGCTTTCACACGGGCTTTGTGCTCGTTCTTCGTCCTCAAAAACTCTGCCTCTGCCCTCTCAATCTCACCCAAGATGGACTGGTAGCAGGACTTATCGGATGATGAAGCAGGGGCATCAAGCACAGAAAAGTCCTTTCCCACAAGAGCATCATCGTTGATAGAAGGCTTTTCCTCGACCTCTTTCTGACAAGTCAAATAGACAAAGTCAGGGGTGATGGCGAGCCCGTCGATGTCAATGCCCCCCTGTGTCTTGGCAGTTGCTTGCTGTTTTTTGATGTGGTTGGCAACCTTCAAGGCGTCAATTGTTGGAGAACTCGCAAAAAGACTTGAAGTTGAAGATGCCAAAGACATCCACAACCACCCTCAAAGACATTGCTGGAAATTGAGGGATGAAGCTCGGATTGGAGTAGAACCAAAAGGTTCTAATGCAGAATGAAAAGTTCTTAAGGTTGAAGTTTCTGCCAACAGCACACACCCCGCTCCCATCCTCGCCTTCTCAAGGTTCTTCTTGATGTTTAGCAAACGCGGGCGGGCAGGCGGTGCCGACGGTGCCCAGAAATTAACCCATAAACCTTACAATTAAAAACATTGTAAGATTTATGTTTTGAAATTATGGGGATTTTATATTTTGGGAATTTGAAAATTATATTTTGGGATTTTGGGATTTGGGATTTTTGAAAATTATATTTTGGGAATTTGGAATTTAGGGATTTAGGTGATGAAATTGGTTGAGGTGCCGTGCCCCAGTTGGTTAATATGGTTCAAGTGGTTGACTGAGGGGATTTTATCTGAACTGAGGCATGCCCTTTGGTAGGTCCTACCCCTCCTACCCCCCTCATTGTTTTTCTTCCATTTTTCAAAGGAAGGCCCGGGCTGAGCGCCGGACCCGGGCGCAGGCCTTCGACTCCGTGGACCGGGGGCACTGCCTGGCGTTGGGCCCGCAGCCGCAGCTGGCGGCCAAAGCCATCCGCGCGGCGCTGAAGCTGTGAAGATGGCCCGAAGCGCGCGAAAAAGGCGGTGATCTTCATGTTAAGGCAGACACAAACACACAAACCCACACAAGTATTTACTAACATATATATATATATATTTATATTCACATATTACATATATATATATATATGTACATATATATACATATATATATATACATTACATAAATATATATATATATATATATATCTTACATATATATTACATATATATATATTACATATATGTTACATATATATTACATATATATATACATTGCATATATATATATATATACATATTATACATATATAAATATATTACATATATCTTTATCTATGTATATATATATGTCTGCATATAGATCTGTGTAAATACATAATGATATATATATATATATATATTAAACTGCAAGTCCATTGTGCAGTTGGTTACGTTGCCTTGGCCACTATACATCAAGACCCTGAGCCTGTACATCAGTACATTGCCCCACATCAGGAGAAAGCTACAGTGGCCTGGCGACACACACACACACACAGGTGTCACACTTCAGGAAAACAGGAAACACAGTCACGTCTATTTTAACATGGCAGCAGAGCAGCAAGTCACAGCAGTACGCTTACCCCGGGGAGCATCCTGCGTCATATCCCAAGACACACCACTACGAGGCATGGTGGCTCCACAACAACAGCAGCAGTTGGAAGGAACACGCAAGTACAAGATAGCGCGATTCACCGGATAGCGCGCTACGTTTGAAGAATCGAAGCGCGAGATGACAGCATGCCCTCGACTACAAGATGCACAGACTGCTGAGACAGTCAGAGCAACCACAACTCCAAGTGACAAACGATCAACCGAAAACAGCAGCGCCCTCACAAGCTATAGCAGAATAGTGGATCCAACTGAGCAACGACTTGCACAACATTTTGGCGAGCCGCATGCGCTGGACCAGCGTCATCAGTTTGCACACAAAGCGCGCAAGGCAGCGGATTCGAGACATGGCAGCAAGGTTGCTCAAGCAGCTCAGCGAACGCAAGTTTGAGGAGAGCTTTGCACCAACTCGCCAACAACAACACACTACTACCAGACGCTGTCAAAATCGCAATACAGTGAGGACTACAGCAACACTTGCAACTGCAAGCAGGAAACCGCAGCACAAGTCACAAGCACTCGCGTCAAGCAGCAGCAATGACGACCAACGACCAGCGGGCAGAGGCGCGACATCGTGCAACAAAGGCAACGGCAAGAAAGGCACTGCGTACACTATCTTTCCTCAATGACCATCTGATCTTTTGTAAGCTTTTTTCAAGGGCTGCGTTTTCGTATGCGCTATCAGATCTTCTGAAGCTATCTATTTGCGCAAGCTATTTTTCAATTAGTTTACGATCTACGGAAGTTCATTCTAACCTTGCTGTGATCAGTACGTTGCCCGCATCAGGAGAAGCTACGGTGCCGTGCCGACACACACACACACACAGGTATCACACTCCCGGCAAACTGGTAACACGGTCACGCCTATTTGAACATGTATATATATATATATGTATGTATATGTGGGAGTGCGTTGTTCCATGCTTTTTGACTACTATGAGGTTTGCAGTGTTTTATGCTGTTCCAGCGCACTAGATACATAGTAAACTCTTGCTGTGCGTTTGTGTGCTCATAGATGCATAGTAGTTCAACTAAGACACAAATCACAGGAGTCGAGTCTAAAACCAAGAAAGCTTGAGAACAAACAGTCAACATCTTGTTAACCCCCCCACAGCACTCCCCAGACAGTCTTTCCGCATCAAGCCAGCCCAAAACCACAAGGCCAAACAACATCGAGAATCCAAACACATAACATACTGGTATTTTGCTTGATGTATACCTCACATGTGTGGCAGTGTTCTCAACATGTGGGTACAAGGAATGGTCGCGGGGATACCCAGATTGTTCATCCGTTCGAATTTGAACGTGGTGGCCATGGTTGCTGCTAAACCTTGCCATCACGTGGCTTTCTGATGAAGCTGACAGCTGCTCGCCCACATGGTCTGGGCCTCAAATTTGACGGGCGCAAGGCTGTTTAAATGTAGTGCCCTTGCCCTTGAGGCGCGTTGTGCAGGGTGACTTGGAAGGAACCTAGCATGCACGCATTCGTTCGGTTTTGCCATCAGCCAAGTCCGATTTTGTGCAGGAGGCATGACAGATTCCTGCACATGTGAATCTGGCTTAGTGTTCGATCTGCTGCTGTGGGGTCATCAGATGCTGGGTTCTGCAGAGGCGGTGCCTGCAGCTTTGCGACAGATAGCATATGATCGAGCTTGATGGCGAGACTTGAATGAGGCACGTCGTTCGTCAGTGATTCGGAAGCAATCTTTCACGTCCAGGTGTCGGCAAACCCCTTCGAGAAAACTCCGCAGGAACTAGCGCACTTCAGGTGCAGGGCGCAAGAACTCAGATATTCACGCCTTGTCATAAAAACAGTTCCCCATGGCCCTTGAAGGTGGTGGTCAACGCGGCTTCAGATACGAGAGGCTCCTTCAGACGCGATTGCTGCTGCGATGCGCAGCAAGGCTGTTGAACCCAGCCCAAAGGAGACCGCCAACACCATGTGGGGCATCTTGTCTTCAAGAGTCTATGCCAGATTTAATGCCTCAAAGCTGTTTGCAGGTCTCATTTGCAAAGTTCACGGCTTGAGTTGGAGGTATGGGACGGCCTCAGCAACAAGACAAACTGCTGGCTCTGGCCCTCTCCCAGACCGCTCTGGCACTGCTATCGAGCGCTCCCTACCAGCCTCGCCCACAAAACCCGGCGAATGGTTTCCGGGCGACCGGCAGCTCGGCCGATGAAAAAGGATGTGTTATGCATGGGCATGTTAATCCTTTTTTCGGAATCGGACCTTGGTTTCTGTTTAAAACCACCCAAAAAGGGGCCAAGCCTCAAACAAGACGAGCCACCCATTGCAGGCAAACCGAAGACGTCGGACCTGCCGTCGGTGGCGGCACCGTGCCGTTCGGCGGCGGCGGTCGCAGGCCAGTTTCGGCCGCAGGAGTCCGCAAACTTCGTGCCTTGGCTGCAAGCCGCCGACGGTCCAAGTTCTTTTTGTTTGGTTGGTCCTTTGTGGTTTAGAGGTCCGCTTGTCGTGATCCCAGATATCCCAAATATGCCCATCTTCGTCATTCTTGTAGGAGAAGAACCCTCCTGTGAGTGCACCACATGGCCAGCAGATGGGGTTCTTCGCGAGATCTTTCCCGTGGCTCAGGTCTGGGGCAGTGGAACGCCCAGCCATCGGGGCGCAGCGCTCGGAGCGGCAACGGATGCCGCGTTTCTGGGCGGATTCAATGTCCAGGAGCCCACCAACGGCATGCGGGCCGCAGGCTGGGGGCTGTTTTTGAGTCTCGGTAGCTTTTTTTGGGGTTCAAAGGGGAACCAGGCAAAACCCCTGTTTTGGGTCCCCATTGTGACACATAGCCGTGTTCATTGATTTGTGCTTCCACTAAAGTTCCCAGAAAGCAGAAAGAAATTGAGGGAATCCCACTTTGGTGTTACAAAAAGCCCACTTTGCATTGCCAGACCAAAGGCTTGCCTTTCTTTTGTCTTTTCCAACATCTTGCTTTCAACGAGCGGAAATTGAACAGCTGTCACTTTTTGCTGGGGGTCGGATTGATTCGTTTGGCGCAGCAGGAAGGGGCCGAATTTCTATGTTGAGGATAGACGTTTGAACCAGGCTGTGTGAACTCTTTTTTGCTCCCCTGGCAAACATGAGGCAAGCTGACGAGTGCGGAAGCCATTTCGAAGTACTCAGGTGTGCAAATCCTTGTTGAGAGGGTTGCTAGGTGACAGGAAGATGTCGGTGCCAAGTCAATTTCTCAATTTTAAGGTGCTTTTGAGGCAAAGAGTCTCCCGATGCGAGGCGTCCTGCAGCCGCCACGCGGCGAGGTGTTGCCAGTGGCGCGGGCGCGGGTCCCGGAGCTTGCGGCGCGGTACCCAGCGAGCCTGGCGCGGTGCTGCGGGCGACCGTCGGCACAGGGCCCGGCGACGGTCCAATCCACTGCAGCGCTGGCGCGGCAGCGGCTTGGGACGTGCGGCTCCCAAGACCCGGCCAACTTGGCCCAGGCAATGCGAAAAAGGTGCGGCCCGGTTTGGCCTCGCTTTCATTTGTGTGCAGGCGCTTGGGAAGCTGCTGCTCGTGGACAAGCAGCTGTTTGCCGAGCTCTCTGATAGAGCCGCTGGACTTTCCTTAGGCTGCAGGTATGACGTAAGTTTGGCTTGGGTGAACGGAGGTAGGCCGAGTTCTTTCCGAGGCCCAAGAGATTTTGCAGACGCTCAAAGCGCTGGAGATTTCTAGTGTGGCCTGGGCTTCTACGACCTGTGCCACTGCAGGCGAGAAATCATCGGCGGCCTCAGGGGCTGAAATGCGGCGGCGAGAGCACGTGCCGCGGAGCCTGGCGGGCATGCTGTGGATGTTTGCCACGGTGTTGTGGCGGGGCGCGTCCTGGGCGCCGTGGCAATAACGCAAGAGCCCACCAAACCCAACCGGGCCACAGACGCGGGGAATGGCCAGCGCATCCGAGGTGCTAGAAGCTTTGGCCGTGCACGAACCGAGCCCGCAGAGCGTTGCCTCCGCGGTGCGGTGTGCTGCGCGGCTGTCCGTAGAGCTCCCCAGAAGCCATTTGCTGGCCGTGAGCCAAAAGCTCTGTCAGCTCGGCCCACAGGAGCTCACCAACAGAGGCGGGGCGTCCGCTGGCATGGCCATCGCACAAGACCCAATCTGAGGATGGGCTCCAGCTACCCTGCTGCCGCGGGAAGTGCGTTTGCTGGATGCCATCTTTCAGCGGCTCTGGGGCCTTCTGGAAGCCGCCTGGACACAAATCCTGCTGAAAACTCGTCGGCCCGCGCATCCGAGCCGAGGACTGCAAGGTGCAGGAGCCAGCCAGCGCTGCTCAGGTGGGATCCGGGTGCCGTGCTTGCCTGACCCGCGCTTCAATAGGAAGTGAGTGCTACCCTCATCGAGTTTCTCAGTTGTTCCGGGGGTTGGGCACTTGAACAGGGAGCTTTGGGTGTTTCAGATTGGACCTCTTGTTTTTCAGTTGCTTCATGTGTTCCAAAGGAACTCGCCATGCTACGGAACCCGGCGGAATCCGGACAACCGAGCCCACCGAAGGCCTCAGCCGTGGCGCAGCACAGGGACGAGGCTCTTCTGCTGGCAACCTTGGGCTAGGTCATGCTCACGGAAGCCGGGGCGCCCGGGCGTTCGCTTGGGCGGGTCGTTTACCATGTCTAGGAACATGGGTGGCTCGTCTTTTTTGAGGGTATCCTTCTTTTGTGGTTTTAAAAGGGAACACAAAAACAACCACCATTTTGGGGTTCCCTCGGCAAAAGGCAAGGCCATACCGCCTCTCAAGTAACTTTGAGAATGGTAGAACAATAAGGCCTGGCAAGGAGTGTGAATTGGCGGTCTGCAAACAGCACCGTTTCTTCTCCCCCAAACCACCAGAATTCCTGGCCTCAACAAACCTCCTGAAGATGGTTTTCAGAGAGAAACGCAGACCCACGGCTGTTTCCAGACCCCAAACCACCAGGACTCGAGGTTTCCACCCCAAACCACCAGAATTTCTTGGGGAACCTTACGGGTTGGGAAGTGGGCATCTCTGATCCCGTCAGGCGGAGCCGCGGCATCCCTCCAGCGCTGCCCGAGGCTCCGGCGCAGCGAAGGCCCACAGCGCTAGGGCCGTCCAGCCGCCCGCGAGGCGCGTCGCAGCGGGCGGGCCGGGGGGGAAAGAAACGGGCCGAAGCCGAGGGAGTTGGATTCGGAAATGAGAAAAGAACGTGATGTTGACAGACCCAACTGGAGAGACGACCCAGTGTCTGGCTTGATCCAAGCAGCCGCGGCATTGGAACAGATCACTCGCAAGGTCCTTGCCGTGCAGCTTCCCTCAGTTTCATGCAGAAGTCTGCGAGAGAAGCGACAAGCCATTGCTCCTCCGCCTCCAAAGGGGAAGGTAGGGAAAAGCGGCGGTCTCACTTGCGAGGCTGATCTGCGCTTCTCAGCAGCAGCGGGGCCCGCAGGCAGCCTCGAACGCAGCTTGAGCGCCCGCCACTACGCAAGAGCTGCGCTTCCCGGTGCCCTGACCAAATCGAATGCCACAAAAGGCTAAGCCGATGGTACACGAGGGGTTCCTTTCCCCGCGCATACGTGGGGATGCCACCTAGACCCACCCGCACGTTCAGATCCGACTCTTGCTCCAAGACTTCGTGATCAGAACTGGAAGCGCTTCGGCTGAAAGGGGCATCTGCTTTTCGCGAGTTGAGGCCATGCACAAGCTGGCGACTGCCGCTATGCCTCAGCTGGACAGCTTCGGCTCGCAGGAGCCAGGCACCAAGAGCAGCGGTACGTAAAAGCCTGTGAAGCCAGCGATTTGGATAGATTCCTGGCTTCATGGAAGACCCCTTCTGGACCATGCACAGCACCTGCCCGCATTAGCACCAGGTCAGAAATTGAGAGAGAGAGAGAGCAAAAAAAGACAGCATTTTGAGCTGTGTCCGGAGCCGAACCCATCTTGGTGTGTGGCTTGAGGTTTTCCAACCTGGCGCGAGCATGCACCACTGTCGCTTCCGTGAAGATCCCGCTGTTGGGGGCAATGGCTGGCGCAATTTGCACATCTCCCCGCCCGCTTCTCGGCACCAATTGAGCCACGAACCATGAAAAGCTGGGTAGATGAAAATGGAAGGGATCATCGGTGCGGATCTCCACCTTGCTCATTATATACCTTGCTCATTATAATATACCTAGACCGTATTGCTGCCGATCGGTTTCGACGAATGGCACTTATGGTTTGACGAATTGCCGCACCTCTCTCCGTGGGCTTTGGGCAGCGATGGCGCAGGCTGGAGCTCAGCAACGGCGCGCGGGCATCTGCCTCGGCTCAGCTTGCCGGCACCACGCTGGCGCAACGGCCCGCGCAGCTGGCGCCGATCGGAGGAGTGGGATGAAAGGGCGCTAGAAACACATATTCAGAATGATCAGAATAGCCATGGTACTACTAGTGCCAGTAGTATTAGAACTAGTACTAGTAGTAGTAGTAGTAGTAGTCGTCGTCGTAGTAGTAGTAGTAGTAGTAGTAGTAGTAGTAGTAGTAGTAGTAGTAGTAGTAGTAGTAGTAGTAGTAGTAGTAGTAGTAGTAGTAGTAGTAGTAGTAGTACTAGTAGTAGTAGTAGTAGTAGTAGTAGTCGTAGAAATGGTGGTAGGGAAAAGGTAGAGTAGAGGAAATGACCGGTGCGGGTAGAAAGAGCCTGAGAAGGTGGATTAGGTGTGCAGCCGGGAAACCCTAACCCCACCCCAAATCAATCACTAAACCCTCCTAAACCCACCCTAAACCACCGCAAAACAAAGTCAACCTGAAAGCAAATCCACCCCCACCCCCGAACCCACCCTAGTCAAGCCCTAAGGAAACCTTAAACCTGTCCTACCCAAAAACAAACCCACTCTAAACTAGTGATAAACCATTCCCAAGCAATTCTAAACCTACCCTTACCAACCCAACACTTCCACTAATCCTAAGCCCACCTTGAAGCCAACGCTAGATCAACCCCAAAACGCTAAACCAACCCCAAACCCACCGTAAACCAGCACTCAACCATTCCTCAACCTAAAGAACAGCCAAACCAACCAAGCCTACACCCACCTATACAAAGCCAAAATCGAATTTGACCCCCCTAAACCCACCATGAACCGACCCCAAGCCAACCTTGATCCCACCCTGAACCCAGCCTAAACCAAAGCCAACTGACACCAGGTGATGCCGAGGGTGTTGAACACGATGCTGGGGAGATTAAAAAGGTGCTGACGGTGCTGCAGCAAAACGTGTGCAGTTTGTTCGAACATGCTGCACACTTTACGGCATTTTTGCCGGAGTGAAAAATCAAAAAGAAGCCCTGGACAAAGATATTTGTACTAAAAAACAAACAACAACCTGAACACGTGAAATGGATAAAACGGGCCCCATCAACCCACATGGGTTTCCCTTTCCGCAGGGCTTTCACCAGAGGGCCTGGCCATCACCGCGCGGGCGCCGTCCGAGCCGCAGCTCCGGGGCGCGGCCTTCTCCGAGGCCGCGGCGGCCGCGGCGGCGGGCCAGGCGCTGGCGGGAGCCGAGTTTTCCCTTCGGCCCTCAGTCTTGACCATGGCGAACTTTTTCCGTATGGGAAAGATCAAATATTTTTGGAAGTGGTTGTCCCACCAATACTGGTTTTCCCACCAATCATGGTCACATGGTTCACCATGGTTGACCACGAAAAAGTGGTCTTCCACATGTGGGTAACTTTTTCCATGTGGTCACCCACGTTCATGGGGCCTTTTGATCAGCCCTGTCAAAAATCCCGAAGGTTTTGTCCAAAACTTGCTGGTGCGAGAGATGCAGGGAATGAGAAATGCAATGATCCAACGGGCAGTTTCCTTTCGGGAATCCCCAAACTGTTTCCCACATCTCCTACCTATCGCCCAGGAAAGACTTGCTGGCGCGGAAAAAAATATGGAACGAGAACTGGAATGAACCTGAAAAACCCTGAAAGGAAAAACCACCAGTATGGTGTAACCTCCCTTAAAGGGAACCATCAGATAGTTGGATGGTGTTTCTTGGTCTACTGGCTCGTTTTTTTTGAGGGCACCCCTTTTGTTTGTGGGTTTGGAAGAAATGGCTCAATCCACGAGTTTGGGGGTCCCCTAGAACAGTGTAACGCAGTGGGTACTCCTTTCGGCGTTTGTCTTTAAAGCGAATCTTGGCATAGCCAGCCAAGGCCACAGGAGTCTCCAGCTGAGAGTTTCTGAGGGTTCTGGATGAGAGGGTGCACCACGGCACCAGGTGAGCCACAATCACCGGGTAGATGAAGGTTAGTGAGGGATAAAATGGTTGCGGATATCCGCCTTCTGATCGTTGTACTGCTGGGCTTTGATTATGACTCAAGTGATTTTGGCCAGGTCTCTGACTTCGCTCCGGAGGAGCTCAGGGGGACTCGCCTCGGCTCACAATTGCAAGAGAAATACACATGCAAGTCAAAGACCGGTAGATCTTCTCAGCTCTTGATTCGCGCATCTGGGTATGGGTCAAAATGCCACCAGGAATTGGACCACAGCAGGTTTCCATTTTCCAGGCAATCCATTTTGGGGTTACCCTATGTTTGACAACAGCCACAGCCCATGTGTTCCACCAGCAGAATCCCCGGCCCGGAGGAGTTCCGCATGCTGCTCTGGACGTTGCCGCGGGTGGCGCTGGACTCGGCTCTTTCCCTGTCCAAGGCGCGGCGTTTTTTGTTTTTTTTGCGGCCTGTTTCTTTTTTGAATCGCTTGTTGTCTCGTTTTCCAGGTAACCCGGAAAGTTGGTGGTTTGGAGTGGTGGCTTGGGGATGTGAACCCCTGGTTGTGGCAGAGGATTAAAAGGAAACCCCTCCATACCCACCGACCCACCAATCCAAAGCACCCAGCAGAGGGACTCAAAATGAAACAGGAGGGGTTCCGCAGGTTTCGGTCCATGTTTCCACTTGCCAGGGTTCAATTTTTTGGGTACCGGTTTTTTGAGCCACAGCTGAGCTTTGGACCATTCGGCGAGATCTCCGAGCGTCGAGGCGCGGCGCGTGACGGCCCAGTGCCTCAGCGCCTTGCTGGCGGAGGCGGAGCAGCGGGGGCTGAACGCCTTGGAGGCTTGCTGCGAATGCGAAGCTTGGTGCCGCGTGCGGATTTGGGTGTCTTTCAAAATGGCTGTGGTGGTCAAAGCCGCTTTGGGATCCCATTTTGGGGTGGGTGAATTCACCACTCATTTTAGAACCTATGTTAGTGGGGATTGGGATGTTTACTGGTGGTACAGGGCCCCAGTTGTTTTGGACAAGGGAAGCTAAGAGGAGGCCAACTTGATAGGGGGTCCCCCCAATTTTTGTAGGAAACCACCCAGATGCGTTTTGGTCCTTTTGCTCCACGACACGGTCACTTTGCGTTGGATTGCTCCAGCGGCCTTTCCGGCTCCGTGCCATCAGGCGGAGCTGCTGCAACGGATTGGGCTGCCCAGCCAGGTGCCGCGTGTCAGGAGAGTGCGGGGTCGCTCGAGCCGTACGGATTCGATGCTTGCGGATTGTATGTTTGTATATTTTTATGGCTTCTGGGTATCATTCTCTCTCTATTTAAATATATATATATATATATAGATATATTGTATACATATATATATATATATATGTATATCCGATTCCTTTTGGGACGCCGCCTACGCCGCCAAACAAAAGGGCCCTTTTGCGAACCCGGCGTTGATTCTCCTGCTTTCCTTGGGCTTCCTAGGATCCGGAGAATCCGGACGCCAACAGACGCACTGAGTGAAAAAGGCTCGAGTGAAGTCAAGCACCTGGCCTCCTGACATTGCATTCTGGTTTCTGGTTCTCTTACTTCCTTTGCAGCCTTGCATCTGAGTGCGCCTCGATATTCCGCAAACGCTGGCTCCTCGCCTGCCAGCAATTAGCGATTTTCCCTGCGGTGCTTGTGCGGACCTCAGCTGCCCGACCAGCGACGCCCGCAGAAGTGGGGAAGTTTGGGGCAAGCAACTTGAGCCACAATCAAAACCCGGGTAGATGAAGGTAAGGGACAATCCCAACCATAAAAAGCTGCGGATATCCGCCTTAATTCTTTGCATGGTTCGGTCGACCATTTTTTGTCTTTCACTGACTCACTTGTCCAGCGCAGCCGTCGGGGCCCAGAGCCATGAGCTGAGCCGCTCTGGCCATGGCGCAGCCGTCGAGCCCCGAAGCTCCGCGGCATCCATCGAGTCAGGCGGACTTGCTGGAGTTCCCGCGGAGGCGGTTGGTGCAGCGTCCGTGGGGCGCTCAAAGATTCGAGCGCATCTGGTTCTCAGCAAGTCCCGTGCGACGGTGCAGCATAGAATGCCAGCACCTTTCGCAGGTATCCGGAAAAGTGTGAGCCAAACGGTGCACGTGAAAATGCGCCATGTCCACTTCTTGGGGTTAGCGGAAATTGAACCCATGCGGCCATTGGCATGGGTCTCCCATTTCTCGACAGGACGGTCACCGCCAACCTCAGCAGCACTCTGGACTTGGGCGCCGCATCACCTGCCCGGCGGGTCATCCGAGAGGCGGCCCATGTCCTGACCAAGGATCATCAGTGCCTAGGTGTGAAGACCTTCCATTGTGCTTAAGGTGATATATATATATGTATACATATATATATATATTTGTATTAAACGTATTGCATTTAGACAGAACAGGTTATGAGCGGCAAGTCTGCTATGCTTTGAGAGGCAAACACGAAAAAGCCAATGAATGGAAGCCGTACAGAAACTATTCATTTGCGGGGATCCCCTATTTTGTTTGGTTTCCGCAAACAAGTCCACATGGCTGTGTAAAGATAAGGCTTAACGAAGCCTTTCGCAGCCATTACCAGGAAAGCGTTGGACTTGTCCTGCCCAGTGCCAGCCCAGGTCTGATTTTGGATACCCTCAGCCTTCGCCGAGGCATGTGCTGAGCTTACAGCTTACAGCTTGCCTGCTTGCCTGCTTGCCTGCTTGCCTGCTTGCCTGCTTGCCTGCTTGCCTGCTTGCCTGCCTGCTTGCCTGCTTGCCTGCTTGCCTGCCTTGCCTTGCTTGCCTGCTTGCCTGCTTGCCTGCTTGCCTGCTTGCCTGCTTGCCTGCTTGCCTGCTTGCCTGCCTGCCTGCCTGCCTGCTTGCCTGCTTGCCTGCTTGCCTGCTTGCCTGCTTGCCTGCTTGCCTGCTTGCCTGCTTGCCTGCTGCTGCTTGCCTGCCTGCCTGCCTTGCCTGCCTGCTTGCCTGCTTGCCTGCTTGCCTGCTTGCCTGCTTGCCTGCTTGCCTGCTTGCCTGCTTGCCTGCTTGCCTGCTTGCCTGCTTGCCTGCTTGCCTGCTTGCCTGCTTGCCTGCTTGCCTGCTTGCCTGCTTGCCTGCTTGCCTGCTTGCCTGCTTGCCTGCTTGCCTGCTTGCCTGCTTGCCTGCTTGCCTGCTTGCCTGCTTGCTTGCCTGCTTGCCTGCTTGCCTGCTTGCCTGCTTGCCTGCTTGCCTGCTTGCTTGCCTGCTTGCTTGCCTGCTTGCTTGTTGTGCTGGACCTGAGTCAATATATTGGCCAACTGCAACCGCTTTGTGGCTGAGGCGCACCCTGGCAACAGCCCGTCCTATCAAACTGAGGCCTGGCTTGAGCACAGGGCGCCTCTGCGTTTCTCCAACCCCCTGAGGTCACCAGGAGAAGCGGCTGCACCTTGACAAGTCCTCGAAAGCAAAGATCTTTCGAGGAGCTTTCCGGTGGGTTCCTTCTCTGAGGTCAGCGAGCCTAGCCCCCAGAGCTTGATGTCCGAACTTCGCTTGGACCATTCAAAAGGCCCCCACAAGTTGAATGAATGGTCCTTGGTTTCAACTTCTTGACCATTGCCATCAGTACCTTCCAGCATTCTCATGGAAACATTTCAATTGTTGAGCGCTTGAGTGTTCGGCCAACTTAGGACAAGTTGACCTGGGTTAGGACCCACTTATAGTTTCCCGTTCAGCGGGGCTAACCCTGAACGCGCATTCGCTCCTCTTGTAGCCCGTAAATGGTCAAGCATTGAAAGCCGAGAGGCCAACTCGAGCAAAGCAGAATGTCCAAGTGAGCCACAATCCAAATCCGGATAGACGCAGGTTAGGGGCAGTCTTGGCTTTGGGTAGACCACTTTTTATTTGATACCGATCGGTTTGATTGCGGCTCATGTTGTTTAGCTTAGCTACGCAATAGGGTAATCAGTCCTTAATCCTTACTTTGGGTTATGCAAGGAACTGGTCCCCTTTACAGTTCCAGAGGTAGTGACCATTTCATGAATCTTTGGCTCTCAAAGTCTCACTCCCTCAGTTCCTGATTGTGGCTCCGCCGTCGATGTCTTAAGAAGAACGCGGCGTAGGAGGAGCTGCAGGAAGCGAGTGCCTGGACTCCATCCACGGCCACCCCGAGCCAGTCGCATTTTGGCGGGCAGAAAGGTACCGTTTTGGGGGCCTCGAAACAACGCAGCGCTCCCTGCCATTTTGGAGGGGCCCCTAAACAGACAAAGGAAGCCTCTTCCGATCTTGATTGAGTTCCTAGTTGGGTGACATGCTTCCTGTTCAGAGCCATCTGTGTATGGGTCAACATTTTAAACCACCAGGCCGCAGGCACTTTCCATGGCCACTCATTTCAATCACGGTCAGGAACCCAGCCAGCGCGTGGTCGCCCATACGCTTCGGCTCGCCCTCGCCGCGGCCGATCGCCGTCAGCTCCCCCGGCTCGCCGGTGCGGCGCCGCATGGCGGAGCCCCTTGTCCCGACGTTCGCGCGCTGCAACTTGAGGTCTTGGAATTCTCCTTGAAAATGGTCATGGGAATCCCAAACTGGATATGTTTCATGCCTGCTGAATATGCGGCCTTGAGTTTTTTTCTTCTTCTTCGGTTTTATGTGTTTGCCTTTTTTGCCCTGATTTTCTGTACGACGCAACGTTCACCCTTTCCGGCGAGGCTGGATTTGCTCATCGCGGAGGCCGAGAGCCAAGTTCAGAGCCTGGAGCTCTGGTGGCGCTCGATACGTTTCTTGGCACCGATCGACCAAGTGGGTATAGGTCAAAATTAAACCACCAGGGGACCGCAGGTTTTAGTCCTTGGTTCCGGTTACCAGGGTTCCATTTTGGGCGCCTATTTTTGACCCACAGCCCGTGACATGAAATATGGCCATGGGTCAAAAGCCAAATCGTACCCCCAGTTAACATCCCAATCCCCACTAAAATAGGTTCTAAAATGGGTGGTGAATTCACCTACCCCAAAATGGGATTCCATTGGTTTTGACCCACAGCCATATGGGTTTGCGTTTTGGTGAGGGTAGCTTTTTTCGGATTACTTTTTATGGACAGTCGAGGGAAATCCAGGATGTTTTGGGGGGTACCCTATTTTTGGACAACGTCATATGGCCAAACCAACGTCGTCGTGTTTGAACGATTGGCCGGAGGCTTGGCCATGTGTTGTGTTTGCAACGAACAACAACAGGGTCCCAATATTCACCAGTTTTCGCGTCAAAGGCACTTTCACACTGGCGAAATCGTGACCCCGAAGTGTGGGGTGTCTGCGCTACATGGTTTTTGAGCGTCAGATGAGGCACACCGGAGGACAAGGAGCTGCCGTCCCACCGCATCAACTTAGAGAAGCGGCTTGGCAGGGTCTTCCGCGGGATTGGCTGTCCCCAGCGTTTTTTGTTTTTGTTTTGCCTTTTTTTTTGCAGGGGTTGGTCCCGGGCGTAGCTCAACTTGGTTGTTTTGTTAGGACTGTTAGAACCGACCACATTTGATGTGCTCCGGCTCCTGCCAACCTCCGTGCTCCATTCTTTCGACAGAAGCAAGCTTATTTGCTATGCTGGTCCGGATGGCATATATTTGTTAGAAAAATATCTATCTATCGATGTATCTATCTGTCAATCTACCAATCTACCTTTCTATCCATTTGTTTGTTCTATTCTAATCTAATGCAGTCTAAGCTAAGCTATGCTAATCTATCCATCTATCCATCTATCCATCTATCCATCTATCCATCTTTCCATCTTTTCATCTTTCCATCTTTCCATCTTTCCATCTTTCCATCCATCCATCCATCCATCCATCCATCCATCCATCCATCCATCCATCCATCCATCCATCCATCCATCCATCCATCCATCCATCCATCCATCCATCCATCCATCCATCTACTCAACTCTGTCTATCACTTATATATATATATATATACACATTTATATGTGTTTGAAGACTTCCGCCTGTACAGGTCTGCTCTTCATTCCCCTTGACTTGGCTGTTTTGTCCTAAGCTTTGTCGCTTCCCGTCCGGTCTACTGAATTCACACCTACGGATGCTGAATCGTCCAAGCTTTACAACTTTTCCGCGTTCAGAAAAATGAAAGAAACACTTTCCTTTCCAAAGCACTGGTGATGCTGGGCGGTGTCGACCATTTGCAAACTATCGGTACATGTACTTTTACGAAGCTGAAAAAACATTTCCTTTGCGAAAACACTAGTGATGCAGCATTTCCTTTGGTAAAGCACTAGTGATGCTGGGCCACTTTATCTACAAACTATCGCGAAGTCTACTTTTAGCAAGCGAAAAGCATTTCCTTACTAAACCTCTGGTGATGCTAGGGGTGTCGACCACTTTATCATTTGGAAAAAGCAACATTTCCAACCTAAAGCACCGATGATGCTGGGGGTGTCGACCACTTTATCTACAATGTTACAAACTATCGGAACATGTACTTTTACAAAGCTGAAAAGCACGTCTTTTGCGACCACACTAGTGATGCAGCATTTCCTGTGGAAAAACACACTAGTGATGCTGCGGGTGCCCACCATTTAATCTACAAACTACGGCGACAACTACTTTTAGCAAGCGGAAAAGCATTTTCTTGGCTAACACACTGATGATGCTAGGGGTGTCGACCACTTTATCTAGTTCCAAACACACACTTCGAACAAGCGACAAAGCATTTCCTGTACTAAACGCTCTTCCCGTCCTCTTCGCAAAAAGCATTCAAACTCCAGACGATTCCTGTCCCGTCTGCTTAAATCACACCCACGGACGCGAAATCGCCCAAGCTTTACAGCTTTTCCGCGTTCGGAAAACACAAAATTTTCCTTTACCAAGTTCTTTGACGAAGCGGAATGGTTTCTTTTTCCTGCTAAAGCGCTGGCTGATGGGAACGGTGTCCGCCACTTTTTCTTCAAACTACCCTCCCACCAATTAACATGGAACCTGAGGGTTCCAGTTAAAGGAAAATGAACGACAATCAAAACCCGGGTAGATGAAGGTTAGTAAGGATAGCTGCGGATATCCGCCTTCTTTACATGATTGGTAGACCATGTGAATACCGGGATTTGCTTATGACTCAAATGGGCGTGGCTCAAAATTTAGCCGCAGGTTTTGGTCCATGCTTCCACTTAGCAGGGCAAACCATTTTGGCACCGGTTTTTTGGGCCACTGCCAAATGTTTTTTTTCAGGGACTCGCCAAACGTCAGGTCCCACGTGTCACTTGTGAGGGCTCCTTAAAAGATGCGTTTTGCAACCATTTGAAACATGTTGCTTTCTACCAAAAATAAAGGGAACCTCCATTTACAAGTTGCAATGTTCAGGTGTAGAATGTAAGGATCCCTGCTTGGGCGGATTGTCTCGGCGCCAGGCTGGTCCAAAGCGCGGTGGCGGCCCTGCAGCCGGCAGTGGGCCGGGCCAGAGCTCTGGAGCAGCTCCCCGGCCGCGAAGTCGACTGGTGGTCAAAGGGACTCGTCTCCCGGTCTCCTGGTCTCCTCCAACTTGAGGCCCCAGTTTCATTTGGGGGTGTGTCCCTGGTTTGAGTGGAAATTTATGACTTTTCCAGGGGTACACCCCCATATTAATGGACTAGCCGTGCTTTCTTTTCTTTTAGCATTGCAAAGGGTTCTTCTTCTAAAAGCGGCTGCAAACTTCACCTGCCAACTTCTCATGCCAACCTGCCGAGGAGTTATTTCACCTGCCAACTTCTGATGCCAACTTTTCGAGAGTTACTTCAACTGCCAACTTCTCATGCCAATATTTCGAGAGTTACTTCACCTGCCAACATCTCATGCAAACTTTTTGAGAGTTTTCACCTGCTAACTTCTCATGTCAACTTCACCTGCCAACTTCGCCTGCCAACTTCGCCTGCCAACTTTTCGAGAGTTATGTCACCTGCCAACTTCTGATGCCAACTTTTGGATAGTTACTTCACCAGCCAACTTCTCACGTTAGCTTTTCGGGTGTTATCTCATTATTCTAAAAGCGCAAGTTTCAAGTACAGCGTTGAACATCGTAATTGTTTAGTGCAACAGTAGTGCGCGAAGTACATTCCCGTGGCTCTGGCTCACGAATAGCGTTTTTTGTGTACAAAAGTAGTGCGCGAAGGACATTCCCAGTTGTGGCCGCAAAATCAAAACTTTTGAGTACAAAAGTAGTACACGAAGTGCACTCCCGCAGTTCCCGCTGCACAATCGCACCTTTTACGTACAAAAGTAGTACGCGAAGCGCACTCCTGCAGCTCCGGCTCGAAATTCGCAACTTCTAAGTACAAAAGTAGTACGCAGAGAGCATTCCATTCCCAGAGCTCCGGCCGCAAAATCGCAATTTCTAAACAGAAAAGAAGTACACGAAGATCATTCCGCAGCTTTGGCTTGAAAATCGCAAGTTTTAAGTGCCAAAAATATAGTGCGGAAACTGTGCGTTCACGCAGCTCCGGATCGCAAATGGTAACTTTGTTGAGTACATACAAAAGTAGTGTGCGAGTGCAGTCCACGGCAGCACACACAGCTTCGCACGCAGCATCAACTCACAACATTGCGCGCGACAGAAACTGACACGAGAGATGGCGAAGCATGATGCTATGCTTGCTCATCAGAACTTGCAGAGGCTAGGCTTGAGCAGGGACATTGACGTGTTTACGCTTTGTTTCTCATGAGGCGGGGGAGGCATCAGAGTTGATTTAACGTGTTGCTCTGCTTCCGGGCCACCCGTCGTCTAGTTGTTTTTGGCTGCGGTCAACAATAAACATGGGCTCTCCTCCAACTTAAGTTCCCCCATTTGACATGACGGTGGTGGTCAAACGTAGGGTCACCCAGTCCCCTGGTTTGTTTAGATGGCTGTGGTGCACAATAGGACAACAGGCCAAGACACGAGGCCCAATTTTTTGGTGGCAATCTTGACCCAGATGGAGGTGTAGCGCGTGCATGGACAAGATGTATGGACAGTCATGTAGTCTCAGAGCTAGAGCAGGCGTGTGTTTGCGCAACTGGGATTGAAATTTTAGGGCGCCCGCCGTTTTGCCTGGATTTTTCTTTGGGTTTACCTTCAAAGTCACCAACAAAATTGGGGCCTCAGCAAACGACACCCAAATTGAAGAGCCGAGAGATCTCCTTGCGCATCCGAGGGACGTGCCTTGCCTGCAAAGATGCGTCGGGCTTGAAAAAGCCACTCGGGCTCCGGCGAGCCAGGAGGGTGGGAGGGCAGGCTTCAATAAGACGTATGCAACCGCCTCAGAATATCGTTGGTGTCGTTTGGCCTCCGTTTGACACCGTTTCACTGCGCTCATGTGAACATCAAAATAGGTGGGGCTGTTCATACCCCTTGGCTTCCGTGGTTTCCAACCCACTTTATAAGGGGGAGAGGGACATCAGCAGGTGTGGGTTCATTTATCCAAAGGGTATGTAAAAGGGGTATGTACAAGCAACCCTGGATAGTGACAAATTCACGAGGCGCCGTTTTCAGCCGCGTGTTGTGGACGAATTCCTCAGGCGCAGGTGCGAGCGCCGCTCGCCCAGCGCCGCGCCAGCCTGGCGGAGCTGGATTTGAGGAACCCCCGCCGGGGGTTTTCGTCGAGCGTTTCGACCCCGATGTTTGTTTGGTATGTTGCTTGTCGTTTTTGTGGTTTTGCGTGGCTTTCGGTTTTTGTTTGTTTTTTTTGGTTTTCTTTTCAAAGCAGCAGGAAAACCACCGCCCCTGGATCAACAGGACAACCGCTGCTTTGCGGGTATTGGGATACCTTTTTCCCCACGCGCCCTAAGATGTTTGTTGCCTGCCGAAGGGGGCAACAGACTGCTGGATGGTCAAAATTAAACCACCAGACAACCGCAGGTTTTAGTCGTTTCTTCCATCTATCGGGGCGTCCCATTCTGTGGTTTTCAAACCACCCCCAAATGACACAAGCGTTTTGCTAGGTTGGAGCGCATCGTGCAACTGGGCCGCAGCTTTGACGCGTCGTTCTCCCTGCTTCAAGCGGGGCTTGAGGTCGGATCTCAGCTGCGAGGCGCGCAGAGGAAGGGTGTGGAAATCCGTTTTGCCTGCCCACTCTGCAAATGGCGTTTTCTGGGCTGGGGATGTGTGTGTGTGTGTGAAACTTGCTATGTCATGACAGACGGGTTGGCAACCAAATTGTTAGCAGGGTGGTTGCCCACACAAGTACCAGCCCATCGAGGAGGCTTGTGTGTGGCACTGACATCAGTGCCCGCTGACGTACCTGCAACTCCTCAGGCTCTGGATATTTCACCTCAAGTGTTCTGGCTGCACCTTGGTTGTTCAGATTTACTCCTTTCCAAACTTCCTTGGGGTTGTTTTCAGGCCTCCATCAGGCCCAGCCAAGTCCGGGTCTCTGCGCTGTTTGCACTTTCACCAGGCCCAGTGAAGTGAAGCCTTTGGTTTTCGTGTTTGCTGCCTTCAGGCGAGTTTCACCTGATGGCGTTTCACAGGGCGCATGCGCACGGAGTTTTGGCCACCAGCCTCTACCAGGTCAACCCACCACCTCCACCCGCTCCCTCTTCCTCTTCTTTTCCTCCAACTGCAACACCTGACTACCGCTTCAACTCACCGCCGACGCCTCGTGTGCCGCAACCCGTCATCTACCCCTACCCCTTCCACTACGGCATGGCTGCGCCGGCAACACACCTGATCGACAAGCGCTTTGCGTGGCAAACCCCCGCGACCACGCCTGCAGGCGGGATTGCGCGGCTCACCCGCACGCGTCGTCCAGTCCTACCCCGCCGTCGACGGGGCCAACCTCGAAGCTTGGAGCCGGGCCGTGCTAGTCGCTCAACACGCTGGCAGCGCCGCGGTCAGTCAACCCGCTCCCGGCTACGCAGAGCTGATGCGGCAACTGCGCCTCATCACAACCACGGCACCCACGGCGCCCGCGGCGCCAGGAACTCATCGGCGCCCAACCCAGCCTCAGCTTCACCTTCTCCTACTGTCGAGGACCACTTTGAACCAGCTGCCGTTCTGGCAAAAAACATCCTCGCAGCGAAGGCTTGGGCACCTTCGCCGACTTCCAGACCACCCCGGCAATGCCTCCCAAAGCATGACCACGAGGACACGCGTCCGGCGCAGCAACTCGAGCATCCACCGTGACTCGCAACGGGCCATTGAGCTTGTGCCACAACACCCGGAGGCAGATGATGGCCCCGCATGATGTGCCGCCTCGCCTTCCTGAGTTCGCTCACGTTCCCCGTCACGTTTGGTCGCGTGGTCCTACGAGACCGTCATCTTGTTCCTCGGCATCTCTCTCCCCGGACGTTCCACGCGTGCTGATTGGTCTCCCACATGTTTGGGCGGAGCGTCCGCTTCGCGCGCAGGATCGGGGCACCGTCTCCGTCACAGTCTGCTCGGCACCTTCGGCGCCTTCATCACCTTCATCCACTACTTCATCGTCGATGACACTCCTGTTCGCCGGGTACACCCGATTGGACGCGCGGAAAGCCTGACCACACGCAACACGGCGCTTCAACACCGCCAGAAAACACCGCCGTCATCTTCACCTGTTCATTGGACCGCGGATATGGGCGCTGCGGTGCGAGCTGCCAAGATGAATCCTGCTTGCAGCTGAAGTCCGTAAGCGTTGGCAACTCCAAGCCGTTCGCCAAGGCCTGAGAAGGCAACGCACGTTTCACCATGTCCCCGCGTGGCAGCCAACTTTCTGCCCTATGTGGCGGATGTGTGTGTGTGTGGAGCTTCCTATGTCATGGAAGATGGGTTCACAACCCGATTTGAGCAGGGGGGCTGGTTGCCCACACAAGTACCAGCCCACGAAGAGGCTTGTGTGTGGCACTGACACCAGTGAGGACGCTTGCTGACGTCCTTATTTGCTTTTTGTGTACTACCTTCTGCTCGGCCTGAAAAAGAGGACCCCTAAACCATTCTGCTGCATCGTGTGTGACTGAAAAGTGAACAGAAAGACAGCAAGTAAGTAAATAGATAAATCCCCACATATCTTTTCTACACACAGATCGTACACACACATATTTTTCATATATATATATATTTGTATTCATACCGGGGTATATTTTTCCGTTGGGGTTGGCAGGCGCTGTCCCCGAAGCACGGACGCATGGGCGGCGTTGCCGCCTCTTTCTGCGCGAGTGAGGCCGTGGGCAAAGCTTCCAGACCCCTCGAATTAGGAAACGGACCAAATGGGCGGCCCAGCGAGACTTTCAGGCTTTTTGGTTCTGTCCATTTTTAGTAGGGGATTGCAAGAAAGAAAGTTGTTCGCTACCATGCCACGGGTTGGACAGTTCAGAACTGGGCTCGATTTGTGTGAGAAATCCCCCGATTTTTGACAACGCAGTCGCAGGCATCTCCAAAAGCGCCTTCCGTTTCGCAAGAGATGGTACAGGAGATCGAGGCGCGGGGCTGTGCGTGATGTGCGCTTATGCAGGCAGTGCGACATCATGAAAGTGTGTTGCAACATGGGTGTGGCTCAAAATCAAACAAGAGGGGTTGCGCAGGTTTTGGTCCATGTTTCCATTTACCAGGGTTCCATTTTGGTACCGGTTCTTTGAGCCACAGCCACATGGGGGAACCCCAAACTGGCAGGTTTCCACTTGGTTCTACCGTAAGCACCATCCGAACGCGGGGTCCGCACTTCACATCTTGGGGTTTGTTCCAAAGGACGCCGAGCTGCGGGCCGAGGCAAGGCCTGGCGCCTCGGCCAAAAGGAGATCCGTCCTTCGATCGTGCGGAAATCGAACTGAACACCCCTGGTGGTTCCTAGCCATAAGGTTCCTTTGCGCTTTTTAGGTTTTAGTTGGGTTAGTGGTTGGGTTTCCATTTTGCCCGCTAAAGGCTGCACGTTTAGCAGGGGCTCTGACCACTTGTGGTGATAAAGTCTTTGCATTGGGCTGGACTTTACGGCATCAAAGCTGCAAACTGAAGCACCAGTCGAGTTTTCTTGAGGTGAAGACATGCCGCGAGTGCCAAGCCACTCGGCATGTTTGGGGCAACCTCTGCGAACTCTGGCGAATGCAGCTACCAGCAACTTGTCAGCTCCAGGCGATGAGGCAGCGCGGTGCTGAGACTGCGCAGCTCGCAACTGCGTTCCGATAGAATCATCGCGCCGTTGCCGACGCTCCTTTCGTATGCGCCAGGTCAAGACTCTGCAGGAGGCACTGGCGGCAGAGAGGAGTGCCAGGCTGCAGCTGGAGGCGGTTTCCGGTTCTTTTTTCTGCGGTTTGCGCAAGGCACGTTTCTTTTGGTTGGATGGTACCCTGGAAACCAAAAGGACACCAACCATTTTTGGGGTCTCTCAAAAACGACACTCCCATTTGCCTTTGCTTGTGCAAACAGTAAAGCGCCACTGAAAAAGCGCAGATCGCCCATGAATCAAGCAGATGTTTATCCATGGTGGGTGTGGACAGTACGCAGGCCACTCAGTGACAGTACGCTTCAGGCCACTGTCAAAGAGCTCATTGCGAAGTTGGAGTCTGCGGAGCGAAATGAGCAGGAGGCGCGAAGCTAAGGATTCCAGCTACAGGGATGTGGTCAGAATGGCCCGGAAATGATCGACACTTCCTTCACGGTGCCTTTTTGAGGCACCTGCACCTCTTGCGGCTGAACCTCCCAATGCAGCGCCTTCGACAGCAGCGCCTACTGCGGCTGAACCTTCCAATGCGACGCCTGCCAATGCGGTTGCACATGATGTGTCACCTGCGGATGCCGAGCCCTCCGCAATGGCCTCCACGGCGGCTCCCTATGCGCCCGATTCGAGCGTCCCTCCGGTCCAAGAAGGGACACGTGAGAGCCCAGTTTGATCTTGGGTTTGACTTGTGCCGACTCCAAAGGAGATGGCAAATCTCGCAGTCGCCGCGTGTTTGGAAAGCCCAGTTTCAAATCGGGCTGCCCAATCTGTTAATGACCAATCCTGAAGGATTTGTTTCACGGATTTGTCTGCAACGTTGCGAGCCAAAAGATCTCCGTGCACATTGGCCCAGATTCTGGGCCACTGGACGGGGTGCTTCGGGTGCCCGGCTTGGGCTTGTTGATCTCAGGCGAGGTGGACTGGCAGAAATGGCATTCCGCCAGGGCCCCAGGGTCCCAGGGCGCCTCGGCCCAGGGCCTCGCCGTCGCGTCCATGGAGCATCGCCTTAGGTGCCCTGCTCTTGGCCCTGGCGGTGCCGGCGATGGCCTTTGTTGCCCCGGGCACCACGGCCCACCGCGGTTGGCTGAGATGGATTCAAGACGTGAGCCACAATCAAAGCCCGGAGAGTTGGAGGTGAAGGGACAATCCCACCCATACATGGGCGCGGATATCTGCCTTTTCCACTCTTTACATGGTTCTGGGTTCACCGATCGATTTTGATTCTGGCTCACGTGCTCGTGTGCTCGTCGTTGCCCTCGAGGCCCGGCTGCGGTGGGTCCAGGAATCCAGGCCGAGCCGATTGAGGCAGCGGCGCGTTGCTTGGCGAGCAGCAAACCGCTTGGGCGCCATGCCAGGTGGTGCAGGCACCGAGCGCCGCGGTGCCGCGCTCAGGAATCTGTTGGAATCCTGAGCGCACAGAAGCGAGTTCAAACCCTAGTTCGATTCCAAATTGCCGACCATGGTCCCCTTCAGCAAACCCAATTGCATGTTCAGCCTGGATGAACAAACCTGTCCGAGTAGGGTGTACCACTCCAAAAGTGGTCTGATTCCCACTAAAAGGGGACACGCCGATCTTGACTGCTACTGGGTTGGATCTTTAGACTTTAACATTTTTTTGGGAAATCAAGGGGTCCACCACTGAACCCCAAAAAGTTGAGAACTTGTTGCGGTGTCAACAGCAACCAAGTCCAAAACCCGGAAAATTCCACGCTTGCACGGCGCCTCCCAGCTGCTTTTTTGGTGCCGAGTCCCTGCTGGCTGGCCTGAGCCTGGGCTACGCCACCGCAGCCTCGCTGGCCTGGGCCCAAGTGCATTCGGCACGTCGATTTCGGAGTTGCCCCTTCGTGGATTGGGAAACCGCCATATGGCTGTGGGGCAATGGGGTAACCTCAAAATGGCTTGCCCTGATGGAAACATGGACTAAGATCTGCGGCCCCCTGGTGTTTTAATATTGACCCACACCCGTATTATATAATTCTTGGAGTGGGGGGGTCTCCTAAAAAGAGAGACTTGAACCACCAACCAGGGGACCGCAGGTTGTAGTCCATGTCTCCATTTGCCAGGGTTCCTTTTGTGCTACCTTGGACCCACAGCCATATTTCCATGAGCGGACAGTCTTTGATTGGGCCTTCCTTACCAGAATGCGCGTAGCGTGGAACCGAGGCCTTCAAGCGCCAGCGCACAGCGTTGGCTGCGGAGCCCGGGCCCCACGTCCAGCTGGGAAGCTGGGTATCAAGGGTGCCAGAACCAAAACCCGGATAAGTTTGGGGAGTTTTTCCCTCGCAACTTGAAAGCAACACACTTGGACTCATCTTCACCCTTTGGGTAGACTCCTTAGGTTTTAGGGCGCTTGGGCTTGTGCCTGAGGAAGGCTTCGGTGGCGAGGCGTCGATTTGCACGTGTCAAACGGCAGACGTGACATCTTTGACTCGGCGGTTTGGCGTCCGCGTCGCAGGACGCCCGTGGCCTACCCCATCTTCACCTTCCGATGGTTGGCCGTCCATGCGCTCGTGGCGGGCCGCTCTAAGCGTTTCGACGGGCGCACTCGAGTTCGAGAAATCCCATTTTCGAGGTGCCCACGGTCTTCTTCCTGGGCGCCATCAGCTCCATGCAGTTCATCCAGCGCTGAGTGGCTCGGGGGGATTCCTCCGCTCTCTCGGCGCGCGTTTTTGGATCCCAAAACCAGAGTGCGAGGAGGGATATCAATGTTTCTCCCATGCCGATGCGCAAGTCACTGCAAGTCTATCTCAGAGTCCGAATGCCGCAATGTATGGCTCATAGACGCTGCCGTAGCTGTGTGGCGAGAAGGTGTTAGGTATATTCAGTCTTGTTTTTTGTTTTTCTTTTTTTGCTTCTCCCTTTTGCGTTTTGCATGACCGTTATGACCAGTGACTTGAGTGAGGGCGCCTCGGCAAAAAGGAGTTGAGTGGTGCGGCTGGAGTTGAGTGCGAATGTTTTATCCTTTGGCCAGGTGCCACGACTCTTCTGATGCGGAGTACCCAGCTTAAATTGACGCACCAGGCTCAAGATAAACGGCGGAGCCGAGCAACCGAATGGAGGGAATGGTTGCGCCAGGAGATCATGACGCTGCTCAACGTTCTCACTGTGTCACTGGGCCTCTTGCCTGAGTGCCGGGTCAGGCGGTTCTTCAATACACCCCACATCAGGCTTTCAGCGGCCTATGTATGACTTTGCGCTGGCCTGAGAGCATAAGGCGTCTCCGCTATGTGAAAGCAGCGAAGCTGCAAGCACAAAGCCCTTTGTCTGAGGTGTACATTCCTTGGGCGAAACTGGCTGTTGTGAACTTCACCTCGCACGACGCATGCAAGGCGCACTGTGCCTGGATATATCACCCTGGATCACTTCCCCAGTATGCGATTGTCTTTGATGACACGTTGGGTGTGTTGTTTGCGGCTGTGCACGTGCATGTGCGTGTGCCTGCCGTGAGCGTGTTCGCGTTTGCGTGTGCGGCTCTGCGTGTCTGTCTGTGCGCATGTCTGCGTGTCTGCGTGTCTGCGTGGGTGGGCGGCTGCGTGTCTGCGTGGCTGGGTGGGTCTTTGTGTGTGCGTGGGGGGTGGGGCGAGGAGGCCGGAGGTGCAGACGCGACTGACTGAAGCACGTTTGCGCTGACGCACGGTTTTCTCAAGATAGAGTGAGTCTGGAAGAGAAGCCGCGTGTCCGTGCGTGTGCCAAGTGGGTGCACCGTCTCTTGTCAGAGGTTCAATATGGAGTCTGGCATAGTGGGGAAGCGAATGCAAGCGATGCAAGCGATCAATCCGAGCAATGGAACCCAAAGGAAAGGCAGAGGAAAGCAGCGCTTTTGCCACCTCGATCCGCTCACCTGGGTTTTAGGAACGTGAGAGTAGCACGTCTGTTGGTTGCAAGACTTCTGCTGGTCCTGTTTGCTGCGGATCAGAATTCCTGTCTCAAGCGAACAGGGGTCGGAAGCTGGTGCTGAGTCCTCAACAGGGTCGGTGCTGTGCTTTGCCGCATCGGCCGAAATATCATGCCGCGCTGATGTGTTGAGTCGCAAGTCCAGATCGGCTTCAACTACAACTTGCGCGCGTGCTTTTTTCTGCCACAACACACCCACAACAATGGCCATGGCACGGATGGTTCAGCTTTGCTCGGACTCCCGACGACGGCAAAACCAGACCGAACAAAAACAGACTCACACTTCCGGACAGGGAACTTGTGGAGGCTTGTGTTTATATGCGTTTTCCACATATTGGAATTTACGTGTTTTTGACGATGCTTGCTAAGCACGAGCAAACACACGTGGCCTCTACAGCAATCCTCCCTGATTGGTCAGCTTGGAAATAGCAGCAGCGACGTGCCCAGCATCACTCTGGGGCTGCTTGCGGCGCAACCCAGACCCAAGGACCAGGGTGGAATGGAGCTCCGAAACCGTTGCCGCAAGCTGCCGAAAAATGACCCTCTCTGCTTAGACGCTGGCAGGTTTGATTCCGAAAGTGTGCAAGAAGGTGTTTGAGTCCAACGTAACAGAACAACTCTACTGATGAAACGACTGGCCGAAAACACGCTCCGCGAGGCATGCAAAATGGTCTGATGCGATGTTTGAATCCTATACAATGATAAAAGGAGAGACCATCGATAGTTTTGGCTGGCACCGCTTAACCACAATGACAATGAGACTACGCGCGGCAGCAAATTGCAGCTCTTCCTTTGGGGAAACGGCAAAGGCCAGCCAGCCCCAGAGGAAGGACGAAGGACCCTCTGGTGGAATCGACACCTGCCAAAAGCTGACTTCAGAAAACGGCCCTCCAAGCGGATGGACACAGACAGGTTTGAGGTGGAAAATCAAAATGCGGATGCAGCAGCGACATCCTCAGCATCGCTGGCACTGAAGATGCTCTTGGACGGCACGAGCCGAAGAAGATGCGCTCATTAGGAGCCTCAAACCCAAGGACATTGCAGCATTTGCTCTCGGATCCGACTGTAAAGTACACCCTTCCCGTGCGCCTCCCCTTTTCAGACCTCGGAATTTTGTCGAGAGGCGCATTTGTCGGTCATTGACGACATTTGCCAGCTTGGCGCAGGGCTGAGATGGAAGACGGCCAACGCTAACACTCCGCCTGTCATGAGGCGCTGATCACCCAGCCATCCGCTATGTGACGCAAGCCTTTGTTCAAGGCCTTGCACCCAACATCGCCTTTTTCTTGGCGAAATCAGGGCAGGCGGGAGCGGGAGGGAAGCGCTGGCAGCTGTGGTCGCACGTTTTGTCGGCAGTTGAATCTATTCTGGTCGCAGTTCTTAGCTCAAGAGAGAAACTGCGTACGCCCGTTTGATATGCAGGTCGACGCTATGCCTCATGCTCCTCGTATCTATGAAGACGGATACTCGTCCTTTGTCTAGCTGCAAGGTGCTTGCATGTCCTCTGCACAATCAATTGAAGCGCAGCTACATTTGTGCTTCCAAAAGCGGCGGACCCCCTTGTTCTGTTTGAGGCAGCACCGACATGGACGTGTCTCAATATGTTTCCCCATATTTTTCCGTGGCTATTCGAGTATCCAGTTAAAAGAAGGAAACAAAACAACATTATACACAGGGCAAACTCAGGAAAACATCCTCAAAACAGACATCTCCAAAAACCGGGGGACTCTTGGGGCCACCCCCGCAAAGATTTTTCAGAAGGGCGCTTTTTATGGCTTACAATCCCCCGAGGCATCGAGATTCCGCTGCAGCAAGCAGTTGACAGGCCCGGCGATCGAATGTCACGTTCTGACCCCAAAGTCGTGGGGCAGTTTTTGTCGCATTGGTTGTCAGCACATGACAACAGACGCGTTGTGAGATATTTCCAACGGGTCCCAACTCTTTTTCACCTTGGCAGATAGCGAGCCAATAGCTGCCTCGGAGCGAAAGTTGCGCTCGGGGTTTAGTGGCTTGGAACTCAGCTGTTCCTGTTTCTCTGATGCGATGTTCGCGGGTTAGCCACCTGTATTACCCAATAACAGGCTTAGCTCCACTGAACGGGGAACCTGCAAGTGGGTGCAGCCCTACGAACCCCCTACTAAGACTTGCTGCGTTTGCCGAACACCCAAGCAGGCACCGTTCTCTTAATTAAGGAGACCTAGTTGGGAAGCTCTTGACATTAGGAGACGTGGGTATTTCTCAAAAGCTGAGCCAAGACCATCCATTGTTCCCGCAAAACTGGAGTTTGGCGAGACATGCTCATTTCCACATTGTAATTTGGCGAGTGGATTTGTCCAATTCCACATTCTGAACTGATGGCAGGTACGTTTCCGTGCAGCTGCTCCATTCCATGCAGCATTTCGTGGCGAACGAGGGCAAGGCCAAGGACAAAGGCAGGGTGCTGATGAAGGAAGGGACACCGTTTTGGGGCACACAACAAAGGCCCAGTGTTGGCATTTTTCAACCGGAGGATGTAGAACATGGAATTTGTGAAAAACGAGCTTCTAGTGGAAACAAAGATGCATCAGCCACAGAAAGGTTTACCGAAAAAGAGGACTATTGGAAAATGGGAACATGGTTGAATGACCCTCTTGCCATCAATGGATCCAAATGTGGGGAATGGTTGAGTGGGGTAATGCAACCACTTTCCCGAGCAAGCAACTGGAGGGGTCGCGGGACTAGGGCCCTAGCGCCCCGGCAGTTTGCGCGCTGTTGACTCGTCAGGCAAAGGGAAAGCCAGGCACGAGAGTGCAAGAGCTGGGCTGGGGTAACCTCGAGTGCGAGGCACGAAGCGAAAGCCTTGGGATGGAAAGGCCTTGAAACACCAATCGCATTCCTCTCATTGGTGTTGGGACAGGTGCGAAGCTCTCACCACAGAGGCATGGGAAAAGAGACCGGTGTGCGTGACAAGATCTTTGGGCGTGTGCGGCCTTTGCTTGCGCCAGGTCAGACTCAGAGGCCCAGGCCTGCGTGTACAGCCTAAGTCTGTAATTAAAGTCTGCAAGGCGCAGCAGAGGCAAGTGGTACCTCGAAATGCGCCCACTGCTTCGCGGTTCGCTGCAGACTTGCTTGTAGATGTGTAATCCTGCCACGTGCAGTCTTGGACCCCGTATCACTGGACCGCTTATCACGCGGGCCAGTAGGAAGTCTAGCGGCTACTTAGCGGTTATCCAACGTTCCATTCGGGATTCTGAAAGGAAACGGCACAATGTGCCCTTGCCCTTGAACACATGCTCGGTTGTGTCATCCGAACTCAGCGAGAAAAGCGCGGGAAGCGACGCCATGCGGTAGATTCAGCCATTGTTTGCCAGAGGAATCTCGCCGTTGCAACTGCAGAGCATTTGCCCACTCTACAAAGACCAAGCATCTTTAGAGGCAACATCTTTTGGATTCCATATTCTATTTGCTAGTCCGATCCTATAATCGACGTGTTTACCGGCTTTGTCTAAAGGTCCCAGAGACATGTGTACCTTGCACACTCATGAAGCGCGGTTTATTCAGAAAACAATCACTTCACTGTATATTTTTTCAGGGTTCCCCCAAGTTACCCCTTTCGGTTCCATAGGCTTTTGTGGGGATTTGGGTATGGGTCAAAATTAAAGCACCAGGGGCACGCAGGTTTTAGTCTACTTTTCCATTTACCAGGGTTCCATTTTGGGCACTTATTTTTGGCCCACAGCCGTTTGAACATGGACATCCCTCCTCCCCTCCCCGGCTTCCCCAATGCACCGGGCCTTGCCTCCAGTGCCGCGCGGCGATGCGCTGAGCGCCTGGGCCACAGCGGCACAGCAGCTGCTGCCGGGCCTGCGGGTGGCGGCGCTGCCCAAGGCGCGAAAACGGGTTTTTTTCGAGCCCAAAAGATGCGGTGGTCAAATCCGTTTCGGGATCCCAGTTTGGTTATGTGCACCACCCATTTTGGTCGGGATAGTGGGGATTGGGACGTTCACTGGGGGTACGGGTTTTGACCCATGGCCATGTGAGAGAGAGAGGGAGAGAGAGGAGGGGAGACGAGGGGAGTCAATTCGTGTTTGGTTTTGTGTTTCTGAACATCGGGCGGTTTCTTTTCGGTTTCGCGGTTTCGATGAATGCCAAAAGGGGGGTCCGCCATGTTGAGAGACTTCCATTTCAAAGGGCTTGGCTGTTTTCGTGTTTTTCTGCCTTTTGCGAGGAAGTTGGCGCTCGCAGCATCTTTTGCGAAGTGGAAGCGCGTGCCAGGGGGAAGGAGCTCTGGTGCTGCTGGGAGCTGAGCATGACGTGGAGCAAGCCGCCCTCCAGGCCGACAGCTGCTTCGCCAGTTCTTGTCGTGTGTGGCTGATTGAGTGCTCGCAGGTGGAGACTGCCATTGACTGCCTGCGCCCAGATCATGTTGGTCTTGAGCTTTGCCAGAAGCAGCTCGGCAGGTTCAGAGGTGAAGGGTGCTTGGGCAAAGACTGAGCCCCTCCCCCGCACCCAAGGCACCCCGAACCCCCCCCCCCCCCCATGGGCCGGAGCCCAGGCGCTTCCGGCGGCTCTTCCCCTTGGGCCTCGCAGCCTTCGCTCAGCTTCCGCCGGAGGAGAGGCTGGTGGCCGGGTTCTGGGCGAGGTTTTGCTTGAACAGAAAGATGCTTCCCATGGCGGCGATCCTTGCGAAGTTTTCGTTTCTCTTCCATGCTCCCAGGTTGCAGCTGCAGGCAAAGCTGCGCTCCGGAAAGGATCAGTTAAGTGCCGCCGCGGCGGCGCACCGCCTGGGCATACCGGCGGCGTGGACGACACGAGTCGGCTTTTCTTTCTTTATTAGTCCTTTTCGTTTGCGCATTTTGAGGGGTTGAAGCATTACTTATCCGGGGGTCCACATCCATGCTATCTCAACTAAATGGGAATCCCGCCAGACTCGATTTTTGGCTCGAAGCGCCGCGAAGCGCGGATGCTTTTCGGTCTTCGGAGTCTTCGGAGACTTCGGAGTTGTTTTCGCGTCTCCCTTCGGATCCTCGTCCGCGCAGGTGGCGCTCTGCGACCGAGAGGTCCGCGTCACGGAGGCGCGGCTGCTCGCGCGGCTGGCGCCTGGAGACCTCGTGGCAGGCGCTGCGAGCTGCGCGCGGAGCGCACGGCTCGTCCTTTTTTTTCTTCTTGTTTTTTCTTTGTGTCCTTTTTGGGGTTCCTTTTAAAAAAAGGCACACCCGTTTTGGGGCTTAGTTTCTTTCCTCTTTGGGGGGGGGGATTTTGGACACCACGGGCTGAACGAAATAACATGTTTTTGTGGGTTCCCTGGACAAAAAGGCCAATTTGGGCCCAAATCGTTTTTGTTCGGTTTTCCTAGCCAAGAAATACCCTTGGAAGAAGGCAGACCCTGGATATTTGGAACCAAGGAGCCATGACAAGCCAGGACTTGCATCTAGTGGGGAGCCAACCCTGGCCGGCCAGGGTTACCTCCAAAATCACTAGTTTTCAGCGCACCTTTTTCGGTCTTCAACATGCAAGAATGGGAATCACACTTCGTCAAGCTTCCCCTATTTTGAATTCTTTCGCACGTCCCCGAGTGGGTCAGTTTTCCCCCCCCCCCCCCCGCCCCAAATTGGTCAGGGTTCGGGGCTGGGTTCATCCCTTGGCCCTTGCAGGCTCCTTGGCGGCACTGGGTCTCAATTGGGACTGCCCTGAGGCGGGGCCTGGGGGTGGTTGCACTGCAAACAGCGACACTCACTGAGCGTGCCAATGCTTGCTGGTTTCGAAGGCCCTCGAGGACGCCGTGGCCGACTGCATCATCAGAGAGAGGCAGCGCAGCATGCAAGGATGCGCCTTTCCTTCTTTCCTTCTGTCCTTCTTTCCTTCTTTCCTTCTTTCTCTCTTTCTCTCTTTCTCTCTTTCTTTCTTTCTTTCTTGCTTGCTTGCTTTCTTTCTTTCCTTCCTTCCTTGTTTGTTTGTTTGTTTGTTTGTTTGTTTGTTTGTTTGTTTGTTTGCTCCCCACCCGACAGGAAGGGGTTGTTAGATTTCATGTTGGAATCCGCGTTTGCGATGCTTCTACACCACGCCCCCACGCAGTATCCCGCCAGAGCAGCTCGCCAGTGGATCCCGCCAAGTATCCCGCCAGAGCTGCTCGCCAGTGGATCCCGCCGAGTATCCCGCCAGAGCTGCTCGCCAGTGGATCCCGCCCAGTATCCTGCCAGAGCTGCTCGCCAGTGGATCCCGAGTATCCCGCCAGAGCGGCTCGCCAGTGGTTCCCGCCGAGTATCCCGCCCGCCGAGTATCCCGCTGAGTGATCCCGCCGAGTATCCCACCAGAGCCCGCCAGTGGATCCGCTCAGTGTCCCAGAGTAGCTCGCCAGTGGGTCCCGCCGAGTATCCCGCCAGAGCAGTGGACCCCGCCAAGTATCTTGCTGAGTATATCCTTACCGGTGGATCCTGCGAGTACCAGCGTTCGCCAGTGGATCCCGCCAGTATCCCGCCAGAGCAGCTCGCCAGTCTGAATGCCGATGGGCATTTGGAGTCGAAGTTTTTAGGATGCGCAGGAATTTGTTGTAACGGCTGTAACCTCGTGAGTGTGGAGGGTGGGGATTGCTCGAAGCGAAGTAATTTCCTTTTTTCCTTCTTCCTAGCACATGAGTTGCACATGAGTTACGCAGTTGAGATACACTGAGCCAGGGACAAGGTGCTGGCGCGGCGCCTGTCCACGCTGCCAGGGCTGGCGCTGGGGGTGCTGGGAGTGCGCCACCTGGAGGGTGTGCTCGAGCACGTCGGAAAGGCAACGGGGTGTCCCAAGAAATCAACTCAAGGACAAAGCAAAGCCGATTTGGGATCTTAAGCAGATGTCAAATTCCAAAAGACACAGGTTGGGTCAAATACCGAACCGATGAGCCGGCCACCGGAGGTCCGCAACCATGATACATACAAGCATGCAAGCAAGCCAGCGAGCGCGCGCACGCACGGACGCACTCGGACTCGGCAAGCGGGCAAGCAGGCAGGCAGGCAGGCAGACAGGCAAGAGGGAAGTGGGCAAGCAGGCAAGCAGGCAAGCGGGCAAGCGGGCAAGTGGGCAGGCCGGCAAGCAGGCAAGCAGGCAAGCTGGCAACCTGGTTATAGTGGCCCAAATCCAAATGCACTGGCATTGTGGGTCGCGATTTTTGGTTTCCTGTTGTCGCCGTCCAACAAGGGTGCAAAAAGGGCTCCTTTTATGAGACAGACCCACAATCTATGCCGACAGCCACAAATCGGGCTCCAGGATCTGGACCCAGATGTGGACGCCATGTGCACAGCTGCCACCTGGCTTCAAGAGAGAGGTGTGACACAATGGAAGGAACTTTTTGGAAGTGGAGCTAGTTTATGGTGCGTTGGGGGGGAGGGGGGCTAGCCAACGAGATCCAGGATTGCCGAGCCATTTGCAATCAGAAAGTGATATCGCGGGTCTGTCTCAAGGTAGGATCGTTTTGCGGAGGTACAAGGAAATGGAAGGGATACCCCATATTTCTCGCATCTTTTCCGCACATGAAGTTATAGATTAGGAGTGTTTCTGTCACACTCGCTTTGAATGGAATTTAAAGGGGAAGCTATTGGACGTTGAGGTGCCGCTGCCGCTTTGGCGCCACTTGGTGGGGCGGCCGCTGCTTTGGCGCCTCCGGGGCACGTGGCCGGCAAAAGTCCGCGTCTGCCGGGCAAGTCGATGTGTCTCTGTGGGAACTTTCGCTTGTAGGATCTGTTGGGGTAGGGCGTGGGGCGTGGGGGTGTGGAGGGGCGGGGGGGGGGTTCGGGGTTGTGCATTGGAGGGCCCAGGCGTCTGTGTTGGAGGGGTCGTGACCCAGAGTTTTTCGTGCTGCCTGTGAAGGGGGTCACTGGTCCGTGCCCAATCTGCATGCGTCGGCTCAAGAGCAGGGTGCAGTACAATGTGTAACTGTGTGCGTGTGCGTGTGTGTGTATTTGTGTATGTCATCCCCACCTAATGATGCTTTGTAGGACACCCACGTCCCAATTGCCCTTTTGGCCGAGTCGTTAAAGATTGTCACTTTGCACTCCAGGTGTTCGATGTAAGAGTCGTAACCGGTAGCTGAAGACCGCGCTTTGAGAGCAAAGCTGCCGGCCGCTCAGAAGCATGGCGTGCATGGACACTGTTTTGACAATCCACCCAGTCTTTTACTTTGAGCACGCACTGAAGTCCTTTGTTCAGGACACGGGACCCGTTTGCTGTTTGCAGCTCGCTCAGGTTATGATGTGAGGCCAGCCGCGATTGAGTAGTTTGGGCGGGGCTCAACGGCTCAGCGTCAGGCCATGCAGGCGAAGCACGATGAGTTCTGGAGCCAGTCCGCGTGGGGGCTCCAGTTCCCCGTTTGCGCTTCTCCAGACGCCGAACACACGAGCATGGTTGGATGCGAAGCAATCTCCAGTTGGGCAGGCCGAGTCACCAGCGCCAAAGCCTCACGTGCTAGCGGGAGAGAGGTCGCACAGATAAAACGCGAGAGCCGAAAAGCAAACAAACCTTGGCAGTGGGGTGACCTTGGCACACAAATGGCCATGGTTCAAAACCAATGGTACGGTTTTGGGATAGGTGCAACACCAATTTGAGTCTGTTTCAGTTGGGATTGGGATGTTCACTGGGGGTACGGGGTTTTGACCCATGGCGAAATCAAGGCAACACCTGCAACAAGTTTTTAGCAACCACCTAGGCGGGGAGACCTTGCAGGAGTTGAGCCTGAACTCTCCTTCGCGCCGGCCCTGGGGCAAAATGAGGGCCCTTACGAAAGCTTTTTGGGTGTGTGGTCCCTTGGAGGCCCTTGACAAGCTGGAATCATTAGGGTGCGTGTCTTGTTTTGAGACCCTTTTTCAGGAAACCACCATTTTGGGGGTCCCCAAAAAACAGACACCACATCCACCAATCGATCAACGTGGGGACCTGTTCAGTCAGGCCGGATCCACCCAATTGCTGTCCGAAGGCTGGGCTCTTGACGAACGACGCCAACGAATCCTTTCGAGTCATTGGGGCCATGTGGGTATGGGTCAAAATTAAACCACCAGCGGATCGCGGAATTTGGTCATGCTTTCCATTTACCAGGATTGCGTTTTGGGTACATACTTTTGACCAATGTGTGAAAAACCTGCACATGGAAGACCCCCCACGGCTCTTGGTTGCGCGCCCAGGAGCATCCCACTTCCAATCCGGCACCACTTCAGTGGTCAGAGAGCGATGATGCCGCCCAGCAGAGTTTGGGGGAGTTGGGGAAGAGAAACATGGGAGAAGCATAAAGAAGTATAGGTGAAACTATGTGGGGGGAAAAAAAAACACGGAAAACCTCGGTGTTGAAGTGTGAAAAGGTTTAGGGAGAGCCCGAGGAGGAGGAGATGGCCTGGGTCAGTGCCTGAGATCTGGGGTTGGCCCCGGCCCTTGCCTCACGGCCCCCGCCTGCCGCGCAGGTGGCTGACACGCTTGCACGTTCGCCCGGATCTTGTGAAACCACGGACCATGGGGCCGAATCCATGGAATCTATGTTGGATTGAGCGAGGAACAACGTGGACAAGTTCCTGCCCATGCCGGACTCCGAGGAGCGATTCTGAGTGCCTTGTCCGGTCGGTATAAAATTTGTGCGCGTCGCCTTGCAGGACCGCAAGGAGAAGATTCGGACGCTGCTCGTGAGGCTGGCGGGCTGGTCTGGGGCGCGGGCGCACACACGAGGCAACGCAGCAGAAAAGGTGCAAAACGTGTACCGCAGGAAGTCTTACGATGTCACGAATTTCTACCATGAGACAGGGCCACGCGCTCGAGTAGTTTCAGCATCTCACAAGTTTGCCACGGGGCATTGCATTTGCTGAGTTTGCTGTGCATCAGACCTTGTTTGCTCAGGTGCTTCCAACATTTGGCGAGGACGAACTTGTTCGAAAACGCCACGTGGGATTCTGAGTGTTTTTCAATCCTTTGGTCACGAGCTGCTTTTACTCACTCATGCTGAGGCTTTTCGTGATCACTGCCGGAGCCTCTCGCAAAAAGGGGCGCTGTGAGCTCTGCAATTAGACCAGGCAAACGCTTTGTGGATTGCCTATGACACAGACAACAACAAAGCCAACACGTGCGGAGCTCGGTCGAGCAGTTTTGCTGCAATCGCAAAATGGGGGGGGGGGTAAGTCAATGGGATGATGCCACAAGCAGGGTGATGCTTCAATGTGACACTGTGGCTGTGGCTCCAAAAACCGGTACCAAAATGGAACCCTGGTAAGTGGAAACATGGACCAAAACCTGTGGTTTGCCCCTCCTGTTTAATTTTGAGCCACACCCATGTGACGCTTTGCCACGTGCACGTGCTCAATGGCCCTGGGCTCAGGGTCCTAGATGCCAAGTTGGAGTTCCAGGCGCTTGCGCAGTCCGTCAAGTGGGTCCAGCTTTTTTTTTCTTCTTCGGCCGTGAAAAGGCCAGCCGAACTTTTGTGCACCACAGGCGTAGGCGGCATGGTGACTTGAACACATAGTTGCCTTCCCCGCTGTTGATCTCGGATTGCTTTTGGACCTCAAAATGGGGGCGTCCCTATCTCAAGAAGCTTGCACAGATCATGGAGAACTTTTTTTGCTTCTACTTCACCTTCGCCACAGCCTGAGCTCGAAGCCAGAGTTGAAGCCTGGCGTGGGCCCACGGTAAATCCGCACCATTCAGACCCGTTTCAGGGATCTATGTGACCTGCACAAGGAATCTGGCAGATATGCTTGCACCATGCGAGGGAAGCAGTTTGCGCAGAAGCAATGCCATTGTTGAGCCCCAGTTATTCTAGTGCCGCGGGGCACATTTAGATAGGGGCGAGGGTTTTCATTTCCGGGAACCCCATTTGGATCGTGCCCATGTTTGGGAATCCGAAAAGAATTGGTAAAGCAGTCCGAGCCGGTTTCAGGGTAATGAAATGGCTATGGGTCAAAAATAAACCACAGGGGACCGCAGGTTTAGTCTATGTGTCCATTTATCAGGGTTCTATTTTGAGGTTACCCTATTTTTGACCCATACCCAAATGTGACCCTCCTACGCTCAAGGAGTGGGTGATCCGCTTCGGGGCTTTCCGGAGAAAGTGCAACTGCATCAAGGACGAAGCAAAGCGTAACGGAAATCGGAGACATCGGGGAAATCAAGGGGTGACGCCAAACAGTAGCCGTTTTTTTTTTAATCGTTTTTTTCTTTTTCAACTTCCATCCAAACACCATCGGTCCCTCAATTTATGAACGCATGCTTTTGTCGTGGTTTGTTAGCAGTGGCCATTAGACAGCCAGTCGCTGTTAGGGGTCAAGAACTCCAATCCCAGGGACCCCATTCTCACATGACTTACGCGTGGCCTCCGTTGGGCCATGAACCCTCGGTCAATTGTCAAGGGTCCAGTAGAGCGTGAGGTGCCTCGGAAGACGCGTTGGTTTTCCTGCATAGAACTTGACTATCCAGGTTTTTCAACTAAGCCAAGTACCCAAGCTCGAAAGGCCTCGTTGCTGACCTTAGTTGGGCTGTCCGCCAGGTTCGGGTCGCTTCCCAAGTCCGGGTAGCCTTGTTGCAGTCATCATGTCAACGCCAGTCTTGGCGGCGTTCATCCAAGCAAAGGACTGTCAAAAAGTGCTCAGGGAGTAGCAGCCCCGGCTGTCCATGAGCAGGGATTCCACCATTCCCGCCATGCGAACTTCCACGCTGTCCATAAAGTGACCAGACAAGTCTCGGCTTTGTAGCCTTTGTCCTCAGTCTCATGTCGATCCAGTTGCCAAGATCTGTCAAGGACGCTGACCTTGGGCTCCTTGCCCTCAATGCGAGGAGCCACTGTCACATAGCCACCAGTGTCCTGCCATCAGATTGCTAGCTGCATCAAAGCGCAGAAGGGTCACCGGTTGCCAGGTGAGGTTCTCGTTAAGGAAGGAGTGGACCACAAGATCGTCCTGGCTTCAGCTTTTTCGCCAAGGAGTTCGCCTCTTTGAGACCTTCGAGACCTTAGGCCACATCATGCGGCGCCGTCTGGCTCGCCATTGGGCCTTCATGATCATTCGGCTCTTTTGGGGTGAGCTTGCCATCCTTGGGCCGAAAGCCGACTCATTCTCATGAACTCGCCTTTCTTCCATGGCGTCCACTTGTAGATGCAACTGATGTTGCGGATAGACAGTGAGCATCTTTGTGATTTCCACTGATCAAAGAATCATCCACATAAGCTCCTCCTGGGCGCGGTCCACAGGTCAACCACGTTTGCTACCCCGCATGTAGAGCTTATTGGCGGTTCCGATGGTCAGCTTGCGACAATTTCACGTCAGCGCACTTGAGGAACTTGTCCAGAGCCGCCTGGCTGCCTTTCCTTCCAAACCCTGACAACGTTGGTGACGGCGTTTGTAGCAGCTTCGGCCCAATGCCATGGTCACGTCTTATCCCGTGAGGACTCTCCGGGCCTTGGCTTTTGCCAGCCCGTCATCTCGGACACCTGGCTGCGCCTTGGATGGGTTCTGGTACTAATCGAGGTGCTTCCAAGTGAGACGCCATCTCATCGGAATGCGCCTTTTGTTGATCTCCTTTGGAATCTTCTCCTTGACAACCTTCAGCGCGTGGGACTAAAACACCTCGCGGAGCTTCCGTTCCATCGACTCCTGCACCAGCTTGCAATGCTCCTGCGCGAGGTTCTTGAAGTTCATCTCCTTGGTGGTCATCAACTGCTTGGCATCCGCGCCAAACTCCAAGAACTTCTTGTAATCGTCGACCTCAAGGATCATCTCGAACACTTCCTCGCCCTCGCATGCCTTCATGAAGTAGTCGAGTGGTGTTTGCTCCTCTCTCCGTTCGTCGATCTGCAGAGCCCAAGCTGATGGACCAGCTTCTCTGCCTCGATCTCGTGTTCGAGTTGGTGGATGCTGAGGCGATTCTTCAGGTGTGTCGACGTGGAAATCCCGCGGTTCTCGTGTATTTCCGTTGAGGTCGCGGTGCATGAGGTTGCTCCAGCTCGTTGACGCACCAGTTGCTTCCATGACTGCTTTGACACCGTGTGCGAGGCGTCCCACTCTTCGCGCTCCCTGTGACTTGGTTGAGCGCGCCCTCACTCCAGCTGGTGCCGTAGGGCCCGTCTTCCTGGGTGTTAGATCACGATCGTCCAGCTTGTACCCCGGCTTGGCTGTACGTCGAACTTGGTTTCCTTCTTGAGAAGCTCCTGGACCATAAGTGCTCATGAACACCCAGTGCACCACGGATTCGTTGCCCAGGATGCCAGGCTCCAGCGCCATGCAACCCGGTCCATAGTGTGGTTCCGGGTTGGATTTCTTCCGGGTTGGCCCATGTGTTTTCCCCAGTCTTTCGGGTGCAGTGAGCAACCGGGAGATTGGCCTTGGCGTTCTCCTTCCACCACCGCTTCTTGATGTTGCCCGAGCTTGCCAGAAATCGTAGGCATGGTGCTTCTCCGCCAGCACTTACGCACAGTGTTGCAGGTTCCAGATCTGGGGGTCGCTCCTCAGTTTCCCGGCTTCTCGCTCAGGCCGGATGAGTTTCTGCAGCGTGCCGTTGTGCTCGATGTCTTCCTCACCGCAGTCATGCCCAAGCTCCACCACTCGCTGGCCAGCGTAGAATCAAGTAGTGGATTGCAGTCCTACAAAAATAGCAGAATGGTTCCCACATGGAATTCTGCAGCTGCGATCAGCTGCTTCCTCTCGGCAGCAAAGCACAGCCCCTCCGTGCGCCCCCCTTTTGGGGCCTCGCTTCTTCTCCGTCTCCGCAGTGAACGACCCGTGGAACTCCTCTGACATCTCGATCTGGTCGCCCGCACAGGTTCACGGGATCTTGCCGTTCTTTGATCTGTGCCGCCGATGCCGTTCTTTCCCTTTGGCCTTTGGCCTTTGGCCTCCGGCGCTGGCATGGGGTCCTCACCCTCGCTTGCACCTCAGGGCTTGGCGGATCTCGCAGCCGAAAGCGCACCGGTGATACTCAAACCGGCAAAGTAGTTGGCCAGCTCACGCATGAAGCTGTTGAAATGGACCTTTCGGCGTCACATCAACTCCAACCCAGCAAGCATTCGCAAATAGTACACTTCGGCAACGGATGCTTCTGCCCCGTTGCGATCACCGTTCCAGGGTCTTTGATTACGGATCCGTCTACGAAGATCCTCACTACTCAACGCTGCTTGTAGACGTCAGGGTTCTCGTGGGTTTTTCCGGGGTCCTCTATAAAGGATTCCGTCGAGTAGTTGAACACAAGTCGTTTGGGGGTGATTCCATCCACGATCCTTCGTAGCAGGCGCCACCGCTTGGCCTTGCCTCCGCCAAGCTTCTCCCCGCCTTAGTCGCTTGCTTGTAGTTCATACTGCTGTCGTTCCGCCTCTTCCTGCTCGTGCATGAGGTGATTCACCATTCCAGCTTGATCATCACCTCCAGATTGATGCTTGTTGCTCTTCTTTGTGCCATTCTCCCGCATACAGTCCATGCCATAGGTCTCGGCTGAGAACCTGTCGGTCCCCTCCATCACGCTTTTTCATGGGCAGGTTTTCCATAGGTCGCCCTTCGTGCCCTTGGCGTTTGACTGGAAGGGAATACGATGCGCCTTGTCCTCGTACATGCTCAAGAGCGCGGCCTTGATGTCGAAGTAGCTGGGCTTGTTACTGGCGGTCCCCCTGATCAGGTGTCGGTCCTCATCCGAGAGGTTCCCATTTTCAAGAGCTGAGCTCGTTTAAAGCTTGTTCTTCATGGCGTCCTCGACAAGGGCGGCTCTCGTCTCCGTGGTGTGCTCCTCCACATCCTCGCCACCTCGCCAAAGAAGAGTGACTCGCCCGAGCAGCCGCAGAACTCCTTGAGGTGAGCTCCTTCTCACGTAGCAGTTCTCGTCGTGCAGGGCTTGTCCTCTCTCAAAAAGAAAGCTGAAACGCTTCCTCCACCACGCCATTGAAACTGCCTGTAGCCACCGATCCTGTTGCCTGGCAAAGCCTGCCTGTTGAGTGGACTCTCTTCAAGATGCTTGAGACATCCGTCTCCGGCGGAACTCCCCGGGCGCTAAGTTGTACATCTGCACCAAGGTGGGGGTTTGCAAGGCCCCCCTGACTATCTTGGGTCTTCCTTGCGCGATGCGCTCAGTGTCCCACTTCACGTCATGGATGCTGAAACCATCGGGCCTTCCATGCAGGGATGGTTTGCCTTGCTGCTCCAAAGCTTCATGTTCCAAACCCGCTTCGATCCGGCTAAGTTCGGCCCAACTGTTGTAGAAATCGCGAATGTTAATTGACCTGTAGATGCCGAAAACCGCAGCCGCAAAGGGCAGCAAAGGGCCCGCGGGGCAGGACTATTGGTTCGTGTTTGACAGTCTGCTGGTGGCCTTGATGATTGCAGAGACCTGGGTCTTGCCCGGGCTGCTGCTACTCTCAGGCGCGGAAAGAGGTGATTTGGCCGCCTGTTGTCCAACCGGGTGGTTGTGGTTTTGGCACCCGCTTTTTTTGGTTTTGCTCCGAGGCAACGGCGCAGAACTGCCCGCGGGCGGCACGGACGTGCTACGCTTGCCGGGGGCTTGCGGGGTGGGTCAGTGCCCTTGTTGGCGTGGCTGCTATCGGGACGCAGGGGGCAAGGTGAAATGCGTGTTGGAGGTTCTAGCATTTTGAGACAGACCCACCTGGCTCAGCGACAGGTTTCGCCTGCTGCGGCTGACGCGCATGGCAAGGCTGGGTGGATTTCAGGTCTGGTTGACTGACGAGAGAGGCGGAAAGCAGTTTTGTGTCAGAGCTGGGCACTTCCAATCCGGCCAATTCCTGTGGTGCTGTGGTCCGGAACTGAGTGGCTTGCACTTTCTTTAGGATGCTGAGATCCATAACGGAGCTGATGATCCTCATCAAGGCCCGGACAGATGCGCCCCAGGCTTCCATGCTCACGTCGCCAGGGCATGGCGGCCGCTGCGCGCTCCGTCTTTTTCGTGATGTGTCTTCTGGCGGGGCACCAGGGCGTGCGAAAGGAAGGCATAGAGGTGTAATACGGGTCTTCTTGATATGTCTCAGATATGAAAGGGAACGAACTATGTTGGGTCCCCCAATAGAAACGCAAGGTGATTATCATCTACGTGTTTTCCATCGCCTTCACTCAGCTGGCTGCGGGCACGGTGATGGGCAGCTTTTACTTCCCCACAGTTCGGGACCTGGCACCAGTCCGATGGAGTCGTGGATTCGGTGTCGGGGGTCGAAGCCGTTGAACCCAAATGAGCAATTTGCTCAAAACTCGGGTAGATGAAGGTTAGTAAGGGACGATCCCAACCATGAATAGCTGCGGATAGCCGCCTTCTTAGTTCTTTACATGATGCTGGGTGCACCTTTTTTGTACCGAGTTTTGATTATGACTCAAATCGAGATTTCGGGGTAAAATGTGAACCTCGCTTGGCATAGGTTCAGCACTCCATGTACACGCTCCTCATCTACGGCACTTTCCTGGACGACATCGCCCCGTTCTGCGACGAAGTAGGCGCGCTCTTTTCGGGGCCCCTGGGCCACGAGTCTTTCCCTTGCTTCAAAATGGACACGATGTTCTTTCTCCGGTCCTGGGAAGACCCTCACTTTTCAGTCGAGTGAAAGCCGCACTGCATTGACTGGCCGCAGGGGCCGAGAGTGTCGCTTGCCTCGTGCTGGTCTTCGTCTTTGCCATACTGGCAGTGCTGCGCCTAGTATCGATAGTCAAAAACACCTCTGGGTGAATTCGTTCGGGTTGCCGGGATGGGCCTAGGCCTGCACTGTGCTGAATATGCTCATCGGTATCCTTTGCGAAGCAGGACGCACAGCCACACGGGCACCCACACTCCGTTCCTGCAAAACTGGGGGGGCGGGGGCCAGCCAACCCACGTCTCAACAGCCAGGTTTGGGAAAAGCTTTGATGGGAAGGCTCACTGTGCGTTGCTCAAGGCTTTGCCTCCCAAAGAAACCGCAAGAGCCCAATGCGCTTGCCAGGGTATCATTTGACACCCACCTTGGGCCCCCTTCCTGCGCTCTGTCGCCTTAAGCCGGGGATCCATGAAAGGGTTTCATATATGGGCGATGTTTGGCCCGAACAAAGGTGCAACCCGATGATTTCCCCTACGCGAGAGACTTTGAAGAGTGCAAGACCCACGCGAGTTGCTGGAAGAGCGTACGCCGAAGCGAATTGGGCATGTCCTAAGATTAGGTACCCCTCTTGGCTGGAATTTGGTTGCCGAAAGGGCACCCCAACACCCGATCGAATGGCGCGGCCGAGGTGGTGTCTGCTGTTGCGACCACAGAGAAGGAAGACATGATGGCCGGGCACTCAGAAACTCTCAAGGATGCGCCTGGATTCTTGGAAAGGCGGGGTGCAACATGGGGTACTAAATCACTAGACCTCCCTTTCAGGTGCTTGAAACCTTATGAACAAGTGTTCGGCCCAATGCCTCACGCTTTTTCTTCTTTGCCTTCGCTTTTGGGTAGTGCGCTTGCTGGCGCGAACATTTGTCTGAAACTAAGTCTCACAAAGATCTGGGAGATCTTACGCTCGCTGCCTATGGCCATGGGCGCTGATGTTTCCTGAGGTGCACATGGTCACCGTGAAGCTCGAGCGACTGCTCCAGAACGGGGACTGCCGAGTTTCCGAGTTTGGGTGTTGCCAGCGGGAGATGGGAATTGGCCCTCTTGGATGGTCCTTGGAGATTGAAATGGAATCCATTGGGGGTCACCTTGTCTGGAAGCGCCCAGATCAACCTATTCTAAACTCGTTTCTGTGGCGCGAGCAAAAGGGAAGGAGGGATTACACCAGTGTCGAGAAACACCGCCCGTCTTAAGCACCTCCCGGTTGGGAAAGAGTCAAGTTACCCAGTGGGTTGGATTGGCTTGGGGATTTGAAGCCACTTGTCCAAACCGCCAAACCAAGCCACCAATTTAAGGCTTTCGGCGAATCGGGTGAAATTGGCACACGGCCAGGATACCAACAACGACGGGAATATCTCGCAGGCACCGCTTGCGCTGGGCACCAGTCTCTGCACACATCCACAATGGGCAGGTTAGTAGCGGATGTCTGCTTTTGTTTCTTTTTGATTCGTTGGACATGCGAGTCGTGGTGTGCTGCAGCCTTTTAGGCTCATTCCCGGACCCGGAAATGGGAACGGCTCGGCCCAAGAGTCCAAGCGAAATGCTGTAGAACACATACTTGGCTCATGACAAGCAGACAAACGAAACACCCGAGCCCAAAAACACGACTTGAAACATAGTTGGCATCTGCAGGGAGCACGGGAGCGTAACACTGAGCCCGGGCTGCCAGCTTGGACTGAGGCGAGGCTTACAGAGAAAGGATCTGCTTCCGAGCGTTATGGTTGGAGGTGCCCAGGGATAGGATCAGACGATCCCCGCCAGGCTCGCCATGACAAGGCCGCAAGAGGCGCACTTGGGGACTCTCCCGGCAAATGGGTCCCACGTTTAGATCCAAACAGCACGGTGTTCTCCATGTTTCCTTGGTTTTGCTCAACTTTGCTTTTTCTCAAGTGCTCTTCGGTTTGACCTGAATTGCCCTACCTTTTGGCAAACGTAGCGAGACATTGCCCTCTGCTTGCACAGAAGTTTAGCTTGCAGCATGTCTCAGTCTAATCAAACGAAGGTGATCCAGCACGAGTTGCGAGTGGCAATCGCCTTCATCTTTCGATTTCTGCAGGGCCCTGTGGCAGCGGTCAGCCCCTTCTTCTTTCGCAGGCACGAGCGTTTGCTGCCGCTCTTGCTATTTCGGGAAAGGAGGGAACACGGGCGCTCGCCCATTTTGCGCGTGGCAACTCTGCATCTCACTCCATCTCACTCCTTGCCCTTGGTCCTTCAGGTGCTACAAGGTGAATGTCCCCTGCCACGGCGCGTGCCGAGAATTGGCCAGCGCCAGTGCAAGCCGATTCTCAGGTCGGCAGAGGCGCGAGAGAAATGCGTGTCGTATGAGTGTGACGGAGTTTGGAGGGCCGGGCAAAGGTACCCTTGCTTGCGGGCCCCCCCTTGTTCACCATGTTCACCCAAGGGGCCCTAATTCATACCCAAGAGGGCAAGTTGAAAGGGATCTGACATGCGAGATGCCGACACAATGAGATGCGACAATGAAGTAACTCAATGAGCCTCAGGCTGGGGGGCCCGATTCTCGCGCCGAAGCTGCAGAGGACGGGCAAGGCTTGCGCGAGGAACGTGTGACTGTGTACATATTGGGTCGTTGAATACGTGACCTTTTGGGACCCGTTTTAAAGCAGGCGAACAACCAGGGGTCCCAACATCCTGTGTTTTGACAACCCCCAATGCTTGCCGAGCTTCTGTAGAGGTTGTCAGATTCACTTGTCGCAGGACAGTCGTTTCTGCGCAGGCGCGAGCTTTCTCGGTCACCCTGATAATGCCAGCTCCTTTCTTCGCTGGCAGTTGGGTAAAGCTAGTTGCATTGTCAAGTTTGCTGCTTCTTTTTTGGAACAACTGGAACAAAAGCTTGACTATACAGAATCGCCAGAATGGTCCAAATGCTGACCAAAGCTTTGGTCCAACTCGACCCCGATTTGGCGAGAGGGAGCTACTCACTCGGCGCTGTTGGGTCGTTCAGTGCGAGCCGATGGACCGCTTCGGGGACCTGCGGCTGGCGAGCTACCGGCCTGGAGCTCGGCCGTGGAAAGCCGGCAATAAGCCCACCCAAAGCCCTGAACACCTCAAAGCCAACAGCCTCAGGCAACTTAAAACTCACGCTAAGAAGAACCTCAACGAACCCGAAAACTGCCCACAAAATGGCAGAACGCCCCTACAATATGCGGTGTTTCCTTTGTTTGCGGGTTTGAGGGTCCAGGTATGTTTCAGCCGCACGTTCTGCATGTGGTTGGCAACCCTCTTTTGGTGGGCACCGAAAAGGAAGCTGCCTCATTTTTCACTAGGTTGTTGCATGCGTGTTCGAGCTTCATGTTACAGCTTATACAGTAGGCTGTCCTCTTGGACACGGAAATGGGAGATCTGGACGCCACTTGGACTCGCAACTCGACATTGAGGTTCGACCCAACCCAGGAGCCGCTGAGAAGCCAGCTGATCAACCAGCCGCTCGGTGCGCTGTTTGCCTTGTGTCTCTGTAGCGGTCAGTGACCATCGGGAGTGACAACAATTCTCCGCTGAATTGAAATGGGTATGGGTCAACATAAAATCACCATGAAATCGCAGGTTTTGGTGCACGTTTCCATTTACCAGAGTTCCATGTTGGGTACCTATTTTCGACCCACAGCCAAATGAGCTCGGCTCCTTTCCCGTATGGGCAGAGAGTTCTGGAGAGTTCCGTTGGGCCTTTGAAGGGACCCTTCTTGCCATAGGCTTGGCGCTGGTCCCAGCGCCCTTATCGAGGCGTGGGGAGCCAATCGGATGCACAACGAGGTCATCTGTCCATTGAGAACAGGAAACGAACACAACATTTCTCGTTTTGCTCTATGTGAACAACTTTGGGATGGCCTGAATTTGCTGACGTTCTTGACCCAAGGGTGGTTTCGAGTCAGGTGGCCATGGGTCAAAATCCAGATCGTACCCCCAGTGAACATCCCAATCCCCACTAAAATAGGTTCTAACATGGATGGTGCACCGAAAACCCCCAAAATGGTACCATTGGGCTTGACCACCACAGCCAGGTGGCCAAGAACTTCGTGGGGGGGGTCAATGCCGGGCTTTGGCTGTTGCGGGCCCAGGAGGAGCTGACCATGGCTCACTTTTCCCATGAAATGAACGGCAATGGGGATAACCTATGGCGATCCCATTTTGGGGTGGAACATCCAATTGCCACATTCACCAGGGGTACAGGGTTTTGACCCACAGCCAATTATCGAGTCGTAGTGGTTTGCCGATGGTCATCCCATTTGTTCACGGGACATTTTGATCAACCCCCAGAGGGAACTTCTATTTTTTCCCGGTGAGGAGATGGTCCTGAAGTTGGTGCGCTTTGATGCCACGGCCCCCTCCCAGCTGGTCGAGGCAGTTTTGCATTGGCTTTCGAACAGCTTCACAAATAGATGCAACCGTAGCTTTGCGCAATGAACCCACCTTCGCATCTCTCGGCTTCTATCATTTTTTTGGGGGGCTGGGGGCTGGGGGTTGGGAGTTCTAAAAGGGCATGCTCATATTGCTCTGGCGAATGTGGTCCGGAATTGTGAGAGATGCGCGTTGCCATGGTCAAGATCATACGGAACGTGGCCGGGTGGGCAGGTTTTGGTGGAGGTTGCCATGCAGGTTTCGTGGACATTCTGGGAGAGTAAGTTTTGTCTCGCATTCACAGTTCCTTTTTCAGGCGAGCATGTTTGCCAAGCTGGCCAAAGAGTTCCCGAAAATCGCCGAAGATCCGGCGCCGGGCCCGGGTGCGGGTGCCTCTAAGAGAAACGGTTCGGTGCGTGCGCTGAGGCCCTGGCGTTCCCAACGAAGATTTTCCACGCTCGAAGCTCAAAGCGGGGTTGCTGACACCGGAAGCTTGGTATCAGCTTGGGGCCCATGTCTAAGTTGGGGGAGTTCCTTGTTTGAACTGCGACATATGTATACATATATATATATACATATATATATATATATACACAAAGGATACATATATACATACACATATGACCGTTGCTTTCAGGGTTTTAACCTTAGGGATTGTACCGCGGAAAGTTGTCAATCGCCGCCCATGCCAACGGCAGGTGCGAACGCCCAACGGGGTACGCAGCCATGACCTGGTGGCACGGCGCCAGAGATTTTGGATGGTTTCGATTGGGAAAAGCACTCGAGGGGCGCCGGGGCGCGGGGGTTTTGCACTTGGGGGACAGGGCGGGGCAATGACCATTTCATGCGTGAAGCCCACAGGCTGCACAGAGCAGCTTCCGAACACATGACTACTCATAAACTTCATAGCTTGGAGGTTGCACAGAGAAGCTTTCTAAGCACAGGGGCCTTCCAATCGCTTGGAGCGCACGGTGCTTAGGTCATGCGGCGCGCCCCAGGCCGCCTTCTGGCCGACCTCATCTCGGAGCGCTGCCGCGCGGGGCGCGCAGAGGAGCGGGTGAAATCTCGGGGTCGCAGGAGCAATGCTTTAACGGGAACAGGTTGGCGTTGTATTTGGTCATATGTGGGTGTGGGTCAAAAATGGGTACCCCAAATGGAACCCTAGCAAATGGAAAAAAAGGACTAAACCCTGCGGCCCCCTAGTGGTTTAATTTTGATCCGTACCCATTTGGTGGTTGCAGATGTGTTTCATCAGCTCCCGTTTGGCTGGAGATGCTGAAAGCTGGTTGTGGGCTTTGGCGAGAGCCGTGGAGCACAGGAGCTGTTGGACATCTTGGAGCGCGTGGGCATTTGCACTGCGGAGTTTCACCACCGCTACCGAGGCCAGGTGACTCACAAACTGCCTGGGCTTGCTGTTTTGGCTGTGGGTAACACATAGGTGCCCAAAACGGAACCTTGGTATGTGGAAACATGGACTAAAACCCCGGCCCTGGTGGATTAGTTTCCATGCGCATTTCAGGTTGCGAATTCTATTTTGCAACTAGTCTTTCATTTGCAGGTGATGTGTCCCCGTTTCCGAAGGAGAATGCATGTCACAGGACGAGTGTTGACCCGCGGCGCCCAAAGCAAATGGACATGCCATGTTCAGCCTTTGCCTTGCAAAAAGCAACCAAGGTTAACAAAAACCTGAAATGGATCGAAATAGCAAGGTCATCAATACCTTAAAAGGGTACTTTAGACAGCCATTGCTCAGGGAACCATGACCAATCACCCCCGAGGAGTTTTTCCCATGGGAGGTTACGACGTTGCGCCCTTACTCGCAAAAAGGCATTTAGTGCCGCCTTTCTAGGTGTTGGGAGAAGCGCTCGGTCGATTTCGACTCTGACTTGGGAGACCCAACGGGCAAAGACAATTCCAAATAGCCAAAGCCAATGAGCTCGCGACGTTGCTTGCCGCATTTGTATGCCGATTTGGCCGTCACTGGCATGTGGGACTACATGTGCGCGTAATGCTTGGGCTTGCGCTTGTGAGGCAGCCGTAATGCTATGGTGTGATTTGTTGCCAGTTTCAACTTAAGGTCATGGGTGGTGTGTGTGTGTGTGTGTGTCAGCCTGGCAATGCATACCCCTACCGGCAATTGTTCACCTGAAGTGGCCCGGACAAGAAAGGTCGGCTGGCAACTTTGTTGGTAGTCCATGCTTTTGCAGGCGAGAAGAAGGGAATGGCAAACCAAATTTCCTTATTGTCAAACAGATGCGCTGCCAGGATTGTCCAGGCTGTTCAAAAACATCCTCAGACGAGCTTGTGCATATGCGCGTTTGACGCCTTTCCGACCAGAGGCAAGCAGCACTGCGACCTTGGCCCGCACAACATCTGCTTTGATGAGGAGTTTGCGACAGGTCGAGGTGTTCAGAACTTGAAGTCACGGATGCCCTTAGTTTGAAGTCATGGACGCCCTTAGGTATCAAAAAGAAGTCCACGGGTTTCAGGGGTTTCCCGTTTGATGCTCAGTCGTGGGCGTTAGGAGTCTGGGCGCACAACCTTGATCGACCTCGGGGGCATGGGGAACACGGCGTGTGACCTAGTCACGGCTTGACAACCGCAGCCCGCGGAGCAATGGGTCGATCAAAATCAAGCCCAAAGCACAAGACTTGCGCAGGGGCTGGTTTTGATATGGGCGTGGGTCAAATTAAACCACTAGGGGACCGCAGGTTTTAGTCCATGTTTCCATTTACAAAGGTACCCATTTGGGTACCTATTTTTGACCCACAGCCATATGTTTCGAGTCGATTGAGGTCTCGTCCAAGGATGCTGCAGCCTCAGATTGTAGCCGCGGCCCAAGGCCTTGCCCCACATCCCAAGGTGGACCGCTTCTGTCAGATCCTACGGCGCATGGCGGACGGCCTAGGCGCGAAATTGCGAAGAGCACCCACAAAACCGTTGACCTTCCTATTTTTACAACGCTGGCTACATTCTCTGGGATGAAATTAGGTTTTCAAGGACAGAAGTTGGATAGTTTGTTTTCGTCTTTTCTTTCTCCAACCATGTAAAGTTGAAGGTTGTACAGAGTTATTGGTTTAGCGGGAATTGTAAATCGGCGCTCTTCAAGCCTCGAAAATCACAACATCAAGGGAAACAGTCAGCTGCTTGAACAAATGGTGTGTCATTTCACAAGGTCACGCCGCCGGCGCAGAGAAAAACACCGGGCTCCCAAACCACGACAGTGTCGTCCACCAGCGACATGTTGGCAATTTGGTTCGACAGCCATGATCCGTCTTGGATGGTCACAATCTGAAGCCGAGTGTGGCACGTTCAAAGCAAATGAACTTTTCTGTCCATTTCCGTCACAGGCATACGACACAAGGAATCAGCCAGCCAGATATTCATGGGGCCGTGGCTTTGACGCCGAGGGTTCGTGAAAGCCGAGCACCTACCGGCAAAAAAAATCAGCAAAACCACCAGGTCTCACATCGTTTTGTGTTTCCTCCAAAAAGCGTGCGCTGGAAGGGGTGCATGTGAGTCAAGGCCCACATCCCTTCAATGCTGAAAGTAAGGGTCCTCATGACATGCCGCGAAAAGGCCTGGGCACTCACGAAGCTTTGCAGCCTTGCTGCCTGGGCAGGCCAAGAGCTGCAAGAAGGCGTCCGCCGCTTCCAGGAAGGCGTGGCGCTGCCCAATCAATTTTTTGGGCAAGGACACTTCCCGTCCGCAAAATGGGACCAAAGTGATGGGTTTTCCTTTGCCTTCCCGAAGGAAGGTGACAAAGGTGGGTAGGGGCACCACCCATTTTAGTCAAATTTAGTGGGGATTGGGATGTTCACTGGGGGTGCGGGATTTTGACCCATGGCCGTTTCGCGGCAACTGGTGACTCCTGGCAGGCTATGTTGGCACAGCCCAACGACTCAGCGCGGCGCTCGGAGACTTGGAGCAAAACGGTGGCGTGCGTCCTGGACACGGGCCCCCGTCTTGGATTTTACAACAGTCAGAGGAAACGTGTCCATGGTTAGAGGACTGGACACAAGCTCGTTGCTTCCTGTTGGTTTCCTTTTGAACATCGAGGGGGCAGGCCCAAAGATCTCTCTCTTCTATATAGGTGTAACGCAGACCGAATTGAAGCCCGTGGGCTGTTGAGGTGAGGCCAAATAGATCGATTCTTTGTACAGAGCATAGAGTCCCTGTGCTTCCATTTACCACCATAGTAATTGCAACTCTGGGGGGCGGCCATTGAGAACCAACGTGTTAGCCTGAGTTTGGGATGTCAGGTGGGTGGGTCATTTTTGAGGGTACTGTGTTTTGGGATGTAAAGGGAGCCAAAAGGGAAGCCGAAGCCGTTTTGGGGGTCCTCAAGAAGAAGACACACCCATGTGGTTGCCTACCACAGTGGTACTTGGGATGCACAGGGCTTGGCAAGAAGCCGCCGCAGCACGGATCGAGCGCGTGTCCTGACACTGCGACGGACGACTGATGGCGCCAGCCACTGAATTCGAGGGGGTTGGCCAATCTGAAGAACTGCGCCAAATCCCCTTTTTGGAAATGTGCCAGACAGATTGTAAGTTCCGCTTGTCGCCGGTTATGAAAGGAAACCCTACTCAGCGAATGGCCCACGGATAACCCCCTGTAGTGTAGGTAGGATTGCATTTTCCGAAGCTCGTGAGTTTTTATGCATCGCGAAAGATGCCCAGTGCTTCCGGCCATCAGGCCGGACGTGGTGTCAAGAGAGCATACTTGAACAGGTGAGTCGGTTTGTCGGTTAGTCGGCTAGTCGGTTAGTCGGTTGGTCGGTTAGTCGGTTAGTCGGTTAGTCGGTTGGTCCGTTCATCAATTCAGACGACCAGGGCAGCCCGACCTGCACCTGGTGGGGTTTTGCGAGGCGCGGCGCGGCAGAGCCACAAGGGCCCATCTCGGCCGTTCCGCATGAGGAATTCGGGCAAAACGAGGCGAGCTGCGAGTGGAGCAACCTGATACCGGCGCCAAGACACGTGCGGGTCAAAAACTGAGCATGGCAGCAGGCACCATTCATCCCGATCGCCTATCCGAGCGGGAAAGAGGGTGGGGACCCCCAACAAACAAACGTAGAAAGCAAGCAACCCAAGGATATCAACAAATCAACAAATCAGCAAACTAGCAAACCAACCAACAAACAAGCAATCAAACAGACAAACAAGAAGTCAAACACACAAACAAACAAACAAACAAGCACGCAAAGAAACAAAGAAAAGAAAGAAAGAAACAAAGAAAGAAGAAGCAACTAACCAACAAACAAACAAAACAACCATACAAGCAAAGACAAAAACGCAAACAAACACATGCAAACACACAGAAAAACAAACAAGCGTTCAAATAAGCAAGCACACAAACAAAAACAAACAAGCGCACACACAGAACACACAATCGTAAAGCACACGCACAAACACAGAGGCACACGCAATCGCGCACAAACACATGCACACAAAAACACAAACAAAACAGACACAAGCACAAGAGCAAGAACAAATACACACAGACACAGAATCGCAACGAAGACACACAGACGCAAACACAAACATACTCGCACAGACGCGATCACACACACACACACAAGACGCACAAGCGCGCACACACACACACACACACCCACACACACACACACACACACACACACACACACACACACACACACACACACACACACACACACACACACACACACACACACACACACACACACACACACACACACACACACACACACACACACACACACACACACACACACACACACACACACACACACACACACACACACACACACACACACACACACACACACACACACACACACACACACACACACACACACACACACACACACACACACACACACACACACACACACACACACACACACACACACACACACACACACACACACACACACACACACACACACACACACACACACACACACACACACACACACACACACACACACACACACACACACACACACACACACACACACACACACACACACACACACACACACACACACACACACACACACACACACACACACACACACACACACACACACACACACACACACACACACACACACACACACACACACACACACACACACACACACACACACACACACACACACACACACACACACACACACACACACACACACACACACACACACACACACACACACACACACACACACACACACACACACACACACACACACACACACACACACACACACAGACACACACAGACACACACAGACACACACAGACACACACAGACACACACAGACACACACAGACACACACAGACACACACAGACACACACAGACACACACAGACACACACAGACACACACAGACACACACAGACACACACACAGACACACACAGACACACACAGACACACACAGACACACAGAGACACACAGAGACACACAGAGACACACAGAGACACACAGAGACACACAGAGAACACAGAGACACACAGAGACACACAGACACACAGAGACACACAGAGACACACAGAGACACACAGAGACACACAGAGACACACAGACCACCCAGAACACACAGAACACACAGAGACACACAGAGACACACAGAGACACACAGAGACACACAGAGACACACAGAGACACACAGAGACACACAGAGACACACAGAGACACACAGAGACACACAGAGACACACAGAGACACACACAGACACACACACAGAGACACACACAGAGACACACACAGAGACACACACAGAGACACACACAGAGACACACACAGTGACTCACACAGAGACACACACAGAGACACACACAGAGACACTCTTTGGCTTCAGCAGACCACAGGAGACCACAGGAGACCAGGACACACAGACACACACAGACACACACAGACACACACAGACACACACAGACACACAAAGACACACACAGACACACAAAGACACACACAGACACACACAGACACACACAGACACACACAGACACACACAGACACACACAGACACACACAGACACACACAGACACACACAGACACACACAGACACACACAGACACACACAGACACACACAGACACAAACAGACACACACAGACACACACAGACACACACAGACACACACAGACACACACAGACACACACAGACACACACAGACACACACAGACACACACAGACACACACAGACACACACAGACACACACAGACACACACAGACACACACAGACACACACAGACACACACAGACACACACAGACACACACAGACACACACAGACACACACAGACACACACAGACACACACAGACACACACAGACACACACAGACACACACAGACACACACAGACACACACAGACACACACAGACACACACAGGCACACACAGACACACACAGACACACACAGACACACACAGACACACACACAGACACACACAGACACACACAGACACACACAGAAAACACACAGACACACACAGACACACACAGACACACACAGACACACACAGACACACACACAGACACACACAGACACACACAGACACACACAGACACACACAGAGACACACAGAGACACACAGAGACACACAGAGACACACAGAGACACACAGAGACACACAGAGACACACACAGACACACACAGACACACACAGACACACACAGACACACACAGACAAACACAGACACACACAGACACACACAGACACACACAGACACACACAGACACAC